CACCCTGCGCATGCCGGTTGTAATTACTGCGAGAAAGAGGGAAAAGTGGATGCTTGTTTATTGTGCTCCATCCAGCAGCAGACTGAGACCCATGATGCACAGCACTCCCACCTGCTGACAAGCAGTGTCCTCTACAGGAAAAACAAGTCAACAATGAGTTTTCCCTGCAGTTCCCGCACATCACACTAGCATGGTTCTGCTGAACTTGCAAATTTTCTGCAGCCTTTGTGACAGAATAATTACAAAATATAATATTCCCAGCATGTTATTTTCTTCTACTTTGTTCTCATGCAAGCAGTAATGACATTTAAAGCTTGCTACATTTTATACCCTCTTCAAGAATTTTGTTGACATTTCTGCATTGATCTAAAAAAAAATCTAGAATAATTTTCATAAAATGGCAGTTCATCTCAAATAAATACTGTATTTGAAACTTACAAGTTACTTTATTGCAGGCAATCCAGTGCAGCTGTGGCAGAGAAAGGAGCAGGTTGATAAGCTGGATAAGAATTCAACAAGCTCTTCCTGACAATTCAAACAATTATTTGGAAGCAAAGTGTTTTTGCATGTGCATTGATTTGCTGGGTGGAAAAAAAAAGATGACTGTGTGTGAATTGAAGGGATAATCAAAATATACTTAATTGTCTATATTTTGAGACACAGTATCTTGAATAATATTTTCAGCTAAATGCCACAGCTGAGTTGGTATTTTCTTTCCAATCCACTGTTATCTAGCAACTTTTTCTGGGAACTGAACCAACAGCCTCTTCTGGTAAATCTTCTTGCTGAGTAACCACCAGAAACCAAGATACAATACTGATAATACAGTCAACCCCCACACAACAAACATCCTGCACAACAGACTTCTGCAGAACAGACTGCCTCTGGAGGCAGTTTTTTCCTCTTGCATAATACTGCATTCTATAGAAGTGCATGCCACCAGTGGACATGAGTCCCTCACACCCCCCCCCCCCTTGCTTTCCAATTTACCATCCCAAGTGGGGAAAATGGTGTGCACACTTGGGATATGCATGTATTTCCACACAGTGACCTGCTGTGCAACTGAAGTGTACCAACGTTCTTCTTCTGCACATGCATACCCCTGATGTGCACCAATTGTGTGTTCACACCAGCATTACTCAGGGTCACATTTGTAAAAAAGTAGTTACACCAAGGTTACAGTTGGTTCATTTGTGTGATACTCATGTTATGTCACATTTGTGCACCAAATGTAGCCCTGGAATGAAAGCAAAATTTCATCTACAGAGGTGCATGCTTGTAACCCTATAATAGCCCATGTACACCAGTTTTGACCCCAGTGTGCACCAGTTGTGGGGTCCCACAAAGAATAGCTCCCCACTTGGGATAATTTGCATAGCAGATTTTTCACATAACAGACTATTCTGTCGCACAAATCAAGTCCATTGTGCAGGGGTTGATTGTAATTCATTAAATTCCTCCAGAAGGAACCTAGTCTTTGTCAGCAGAGTTTCCTTGTATAATTTTATGTGTAAAAACGCATTGCTTTCATTGCAAACTCCAACAAAAATTCTTTACAAACTTTTGAATCTTCATCAATTGTTCATTACCCCTTCCTGGTGGATGATGGGTATAGAATAGAGTATGGTAGAGTACTAGGGTAGAGCTCCAGCTTTCAGGCCTGACATACCTGATTTTGAACTCCATTAAAATAACCAAATGAATCCAACTACTGTACGAGGGTTCTAACAAAAGTTCTTGGAATGAAAATGAGGATGGCATCTAATCAAGCTGGAAAAAAATTATTCTTGCCACACAAGTGACTCAGTTCTTTTCAGTAACTGATAAATATATTTCCTTTGTAAATATAACAGTAACTGATTTAAGGACAACAAAATTAAACCTAATCTTTGTCAGCAGAGTTTCCTTGCATAATTTTATGCATAAAAACCAAAATGTTGCTTTTATTGCAGACTCAAACAAAAATTATTTACTGACCTTTGAATCTTCTTAAATTGTTGACTGCCCCTTCTTGGTGGATGATGGGTAGAGTATAGATTGCACTAGAATACTAGGCTAGAGCTCCAGCTTTCAGGCCTGACATACCTAATTTTGAACTCAATTAAAACAACCAAATGAGTCCAATTATATAGTGCATTAAAGGAAACTTCTCCTGGTCTGCCATCCAGGATTGAGTCCTGATGGCTGAGTGTTTTTCCAATCATTGCCTGGGTATACTGTCTGACAAGTAACACCTGTTATTTGAGGACTTTTTCAGCTTCATTATATCTATCAACATTATATCCACATAAAAATGTCCTTATAAATTGAGTGCAATAACAGGGGTTCACTGACAGTCAAGCTTGCCCCTGCATGCTTCATTTTTAGAATAAGTTCCATCAACCTCATTATATAATGGGTTTAATATGAACTTCTGAAGCTGCAGTTGTGCATGTTGAATGTGTCCAATTTTTGTTTTTACATGGACCATTAAATGATCTTAAAAATTCGTTGAAAATCACTTTAGTTGCATTACCAATATCTTTTTGGAAATGTCTGTCCTTGGACCACTTATTTCGGATGCAAAAGCTTAAATGTTAATGGTTGAAAATCTTCTGGTGGAGCTCAGCAGTTGCGAAATATTTCATTTGTAGGGCGTGGTCATTGTGACCTCATCATCTGACTAATTCATGCAATCTCCTCTCTTGATTTTCTGGTTTTGTACCTCAGTACAAGTTGTGCGTGCATTTATTTCTGGTTGTTTTTGAAAACTCTTCGATCATATGTAGTTCTAGGAAATCAATATAAAAACGCTTATAACTCAGTTACACTAATACTGTACAACGACAATAATTCTGCCCATGCAGATTCTCATTGTTTTCTTACATGGGTGTGTCTGATTTAGAATTGGGAGGTAGTGGTTTCGTACTGAATGAAATCGGTAAAAACAAGCATTATTGAGGTTTCTTAAATCATAAGTTAGTCAAATTTTGGCAGAAAGTAATTTTTGACAGAATTATATATTCCCTTTGTGCAATACTCCATATAGAATCACGTTCTGGCTTTATTACTTTACCCATGAATGCTTCATGGTGCAAACATATTTTTTCGAGTCATACCCCATCTTTAAATCTCTTGAAAAAAATTAAAAAACGGACTTCCTGATATTTGCATCCACACAGAGGCATTTTAAAGGAAAAAAATTTGCGTAAACGCAAGTAAAACCTGCCGATCATTCCCAGAAGATTATATATGGTTCAATTGATATTTGAGAATTGGAGACTTTCATTGAGGCTAAGGTCTTATAATAACTGGACCAGTTGCTGAAAGACCTTCAGTGGATAAAATGGGCCAAGCTGATTTAACGACACATTAAATAATTTAATGCCTTATGTGGATGCAGGCGTTGATTTGTATAATTATTGTATGGACTGCAGTATGGTGCAACTACAGTGCAGACTTCATCTACACTTCTACAGAATAATTATATTAAATATTTCACGTTCAAATGCATGCTGCCAATTTGTTGAGTGCACATTTTGAGACAAAAGTAATGAGCTTAAATGTTCAAATGTGGCGTCAAATGACAATAAAGTCACACTATACAGAGAAAATTTTCATTGTAGACAATGATTTTTTCAGAGAGAGGCCACCTATGCTACAACAAGAAAGGCCACACAGTATAAAGCCTTGAATAGTTGGACGCTAAAAAAAATAACATAGTGTTTATAAATCTATACAATGAGAACCTGACATGCAGAATTTTCAGATTCCCAAAACCAAGACAAAATACTTCCCTTAAGGACACTTGAAATTTGAAAAATTGACCCCAACATCCAAACAATACGTTGACATGCAGGCACTCTTCCAATATCCCAAGAAATATGAAAAAAACTTTAATTTTTCAAATTTTGAAAATATCTTGAACAAATTGACCTATTCATGGTGAAAAATAAATAAAAATGAATGTCATTATGCATTTATTCAAATTTCAAATAAAAACAGATTAATTTTTCCTTTGATTTTGGAATATTCTCTCTATTCTGTGCACATTTTAGTAAGACTAGTTTTTGTGGAACTTATTTTGATTCCAAAAAATCAGGTTTTTGTGGTTTATATTCAGCATTTTTAACCTGAAAACGCATTTTATTCAACTTTTTGGGTCTGATTTCTTAATTTATACTGTATTTTCAACAATCGTTTATCATCCCTTATATTTTTGGATGATGGATGGCCGGTATAGAGCAGACTATATAGTGGTTTATATTTTGCACGGTTGTTCTGTATCATCAACTTGCAAAACACATTTTATTCGTTTTTTTAGGGATGAACGGATGTAGAGCCAATTAAATAAGATTCCATTGAAGGGTTTATAATCTGCACAGTTGTATTCTGCATCCTCAAGTTGAAAAACGCATTTTATTCCGTTTTTTCTTATTTATTTCCAATTTTTCATGAACTGATGAAAGAAAACTCAATTAAATTATATCTCATTGAATTCTATGGGAAAACAGCATGATTCAACATGCCGACAGTCCAACATAGGGCCAAGGTCCAATAACTACCCGAGTACCAATTAATGTATCCGTCCGCATCTTCGGGGTCTCAGTAGTGCTGTAGATTACATTACAGCACAGTACAGTATGCCGAAATGAACCCAGACGAAACCTGTCCTTATGATGATCCGGACCGTTAAATGAGAGTGCTGCTTTGCTGACTGCTGACACAGAGGCCAGTTTCGATTTCCACGCTCAATGCCACTGCCACGACTTCACGCTCGGACGAGGAAGATTTCAAGAGTCACGCGTTCGTACGCCGTATATAGTGGCCGCACTCTGGATGGGGATGAGTTGCGTTCACTTCCTAGAGTTCCTACACACACACACACACACATCGCACTCGTTTGTTGCATAATAAACCCGGATAACAAAACAGAAGAAGAAAAGAGAAGGGAGAGGAAAACATGGAAGAAAAGGAATAAAGAAGGAAGTGTATTATTGGGAGGATCAGTTGAGAGAACCATGCACATGTACAGCAGCTGGCGGAAACGGGACGCGGATGGCGTAGCGGGCGATGGGATCAACGGATCCGATTGTTTTGTCAATTGCATGGCGGCGACGACGTGAGGCGAGCTGTGCTTTGGTACGGTAATGGTCTTGCAGAAATGTCAAAAAAGGATGCACAGAGTATTTATTCTGGATGTATAAATTTGTCTCTCACAAAATTTCATTAGTACAGTACCATACAGTATATAGATTTGTTGAATGCTTTCGCGAGGTTACGCGGGAATATAAATTCGCCTGGCTCATGCATGTAATTGTGAATTTGCTACCGTGTAGCAAGCTTCTCATTCGTTTGCATCCTGATTCACTGAACTTATCAACATTGCAACGAAGAACAGCGGGTGTTTTGAAACTGTGCTGAAAAACTATTTTGAGAAAAAAATCTGAAACCCATGAAAAACGGACGATACTTACAACTGAATTGAATCAATTTATCCCATGCGAAACATAGCACTGCGCAAATAAATTTAAAAATTTTATCGTTGGTTTCTGATACAGTATTTGGAAACACAAACTTCTGCATAAATTTTTTTAGATTCAGGCGTATACATACAGTACTGTATAAGCTTAAACTTCTATAAATAAGAATGAAAAATTAGATTACCTTTTCCAAAATCAATACTGCATAGAAATGTACATTTCTAAACAGTATTGCTTTGGGAAAGCTCATCTAATTTTTAACTTTAACAAAAGTTTTAATGCTCACTGCTCCTGTACAAATATCATCCCCACGTATTTGGGACTCTAATAAATTGCTTTGTACCTTGACTATTTTCATAAACATAAAAAATACTGTATATGAGAATGTTATTATGCCAAATGTTTCTTTGTTTATCTATATTCTCTCTTGAATATTTCTTGAGATTTTAAACGGTGGATCATGTTTTAAAGCAGTGTTCCTCAACCGTTTTGGGCCAGTGGACTGGAAAATTTCCATAAAATTTTCGGCAGACTGGCAAAGTTTCAAGAAATTATTTTCCAAGCACAAAATAATACTTTTTTTCGAAATGCAGCACAGCAGACATTTAAATGTTTCTGGCTTTTTTGAAAATTTAAATTGAGAACCAATGAAGCAGCTATAATGGAATATCTTCAAAAAATTCTAAAGGTGGGCTTGAGAAAGGTTTCACAGAGTGGAAAAATCATATAATTTCAGCTATATTTTTTCAGCAAGAGAAAATTCATCTGAAATGTATTGTTAAAAGAAAAGTTGATTTTATTTTACATCAGATTATTTCAACTACCATTACTGTACATATTGTCTTCCCAAATTTTCAGGCAAAGATAACAGGCTTAATAGCTAACTTGAATATATTTAGTATGCTTCAAAAGACTTCCTGTGGAATGGCAAAAAACTTCTGTAGACTGGCACTGGTCTGCAGAGCAACCACATGTTGGGAACATTGTTTCAACCCTTGTGCTGCAAAGTCAGGAAATTTTTGCAAACTTTTGTGCCACTGGGCACTGAGAATTTTAAAAAAACCAGCCCAAGTAGGGAAAAGGTGATGTTTTTTCTAATCCTGCAGAAATTTTTGTATGCAAAAAAGCCCTCACTGGGTGGTATTTTTTTCTGAATTCCTAGCATACGATTTGCATGGGAAAATCCTGAAAGCAATAGAAAATTTGCCTCCTGTATGTTTCCCAACTTAGGCCTTCTCAACCTGGGTACATTTCAGTGACCTTGGGTCAAACTTATATGTGCCACCCCCCCCCCCCAAAGAAAAATCCCAATTTGGCTGATGAGCACTGAAAGAGAAACTTCCGGCACTGTCCAAGGGCTTTTCTTCCAAAGAGAAAAGCCCTTGGATTGCTTTTCTTCCTGGAAAATTGTTCTATGTGTCCTGTAAAATTTTAAAATATTGATCTTTCCCACATTGAAATGGCTGGAAAATGTAGGATTGCATTATCTTCCAACATGTAGGAGAAATTGACCAACAGATATTGCAGGATATAAATACATGTACTGTATCTGAATATATATGTTGAAATTTTTGCCAATGTATTTAAAAAACAGAATCTGATCTTCTGAGACTTTTGGATTTAGAATGCATGCTCGTGAAATGACATGTTTCAAAAATTATAATGAAACATTTTTCACCATTTATCAGTGATTCAATATTAGTATTAGTACAGTACTAATAAAACAGCTGAACAGGAAATCAGACTGGAAGTCTTCCAATTTTTTTAAATGTTCGTTTTCGAGGTTTTATCAATGATCGTTCTTTTTTAATGCATTTTTTCTCGAAAAATTCCTCTGGGAAACAATTTCAGCTTGTGACATGAGCCCTTGGAAATTTCAGTGATCGTAACTGAACATGGATAATCGATAAGTGTTAAATTTTTTCCTCAGGTAAAAAAAGTCGGAAAAATAATACGATAGTGTATTGTATATCACCCATTGCATAAATCCTGTTCAATTTCTCCACAATAAGCGTGATGTATAATATAACTTGTGATAGAAATACTGTATACTGAGCGTTATTCTTGTTATTAGATGGAAGATATACGAAGGTTCCCTATAGGTTTACAGCTGTGTAGCAGTGAGTGCCCGTTTTACAGTATTTCCGACTGGTCTTATTATGAAACAAATAACATTGTCAGGCATGGCAGTCATATAGAGAAAAAATGCATAACTAAGTTATGTACTGTATCTGATTTCAACCCACTGAAGTGTCATCCATTTTTTTAGACAAAAAGGTAAACACTCTTGACCGAAAAAGGGGAGCAATATATTTCATTTGAATGATTCAAAGTATTCGAACTTGCGCCCACATCGGCAATTAAAGTTATCAATTCTAAAACGAAAGGATACTTCGCATTCTATTACAAAGAATTGCCTCTGGAATATATATGTTCAAATATAGATGTCAAATAAATAGAATAAAAGCCACATAGAAATAAATTTCACGAACTAAATTTTAAAAAGCGTTCGAATCAATGGTATTCAAACTAAATATATTAAAATTTTAACACTGAAGCCAGTCATGTTTTTGAAAAATAAAATAAAGGCATTGGTTTTAATTTCTTTGGGACAAAATTGATCCTGATTCTCGTGACTGGGTGCGTGATTCCCGTGCAGAATGCCCTATGCATGTGCTATCAAAGAGCTACGACTTAAACTGTCATGGGCGTTCTCTGAAGCACGGTCCTCAAGAAAGACAAACCGAAGCGATGTAAGACGAACTTCTGTTTCTTCGAAACTACCGTATTTTGTCTGATTGTGCCGGCATCTTCAAGATTAAGTCCGGATGAGTAACGGATATTGTTGAAAGGCAGGTTCATATTTATAGCTAATTCAGTTTGATATGGTTTGAACTGTGGAGTGGAGCTTATTTTGAAGAAGTGTATTTGATGAAGCTCAAGCGAAATTCTTGCTGGTTCTGTGATTTTTGTTCTTCTTTTCCGAAAGGTTCCGAAGAAATTTCGTTCGATGGTCTTGACGAATTTAAAATGTATTGATTTATGCTCCTTTTTGTGTTCCTAAGTGGGGAAAAGTAACGTTTAACTGCTTATTAAACTTCCCAGTGCAAGACTCGTGACGGTTGTTCGAAGTGCCAGTTGACCAGGATCTCGTTCCATTTCTTCATTGATTTGCCCTGCCATAATGCCCCATGAGATCAGTAAGTAACTTTTTTCGATTTTTTGCGCTCATATCCCGCTCTCATAGCTTTTTTCTCATGTATTTGGTGATATGCAGAAGCAGTATTTGCCTCCCTGCCTAGGACGCAGCGAGGTACTCCTATTGTATTGGGTGGTGATCCGAAGGGAGAAAATTTCGTCTACACAAACGGAAACAGCGTTATCATCCGTAGTATTACGGTACTGAACCCAGTTCATGTGATCGAAACTATCGGTTCTTGATTGTTCTGTTTCTTGAAGAATCCTGCGTCGGCTGATGTTTACACGGAACATTCGACGGCCGTGGTTGTTGCGAAATATTCGCCAAGTCGATTCTACATTGCATCTGCTGGTTAGCAATATTTCAATTTAACCAGAAGTTCATGAATGATCAAATAAAATTTCCGTTTAGACCAGAGTGGCAAAGTTCGCATTTGGGACACTGTGAACAAGGAACACATTCTGAAAGCAGAATATCAGCCAATTGTGGGCGTCATTAAGGACCTTGCATGGAGTAATGATAGTCAAAGGATTGTCATCGTCGGTGAAGGTCGAGAGCGGTGTGTGGATTATCTTTGATCGTGTGACCTACGTAACTGGATAGCAGTTATTAATGTAAAGAATAGATTACGGAAGTACAGTATATGATTTGTTGAGGTTTGTGAACAATTCCCAAATCTCTAAGATTACGCGATTAATGAATCAAGTTCTTGTGAACAACATAAATGACTAGATCTGTGGACGCATCAGGAGTTAGCCTGGCTGCCATCAATTCAACGACTAATGAACACTCGAGTCTATAAATAACTGTCTGGAAACGCTTAAATACTATTTGTATTCATTCAACCCAGGTAAATTTGACGAAATCGTGTGTAATCAGTCTGTGTCAAATAGAATTTCATGCATAAAATCTATTTTAATTTCAAATGCTAGCGTCTCATCTTTTCGGACAAACAACTTCAAACCAAAAATATTTTTCACAATTTCCTCTCGTTGAAGTCCATGTAACCGCTCTGCGGACAATGTTTTCAGAAGTGAAGTTTCTTATAGATTCGGGCACGTGTTTATGGCGGACACTGGCACCTCCGTGGGAGAAATTTCTGGACACGGACGCCCAATAAACTCTTGCGACTTCAAATCTTCACGTCCTTTCCGCATCGCCACAGGGAGTGAGGACAATTGTGTGGGGATTTTCGAAGGACCTCCGTTCAAGTTCAAGATGACGAAGCAAGATCACGCCAAGTACGTACAATGCGTGCGATATTCTCCAAATGGGGAGCTACTTGCGAGCGGAGGATTCGACGGGAAACTCTTTCTGTACGATGCAAAAACGTCGGAACTTGTGGGGCAAATTGGCGATCCTGCTCACAAGGGTGGAATTTACGGGGTGCGTTCGTGTCCATTGTTTTGACGCATTGATTATCTACTTTTCTTCATTTCTTCTTGATATTCATGCTGTAAGAGTTAATGTGCTGCCAATGTGCTTTGCGCATTTCCCCCCCCCCTTTTTTTCAAAAGTGAAAACTCCAGGGTTTCGATGTATCCTGTTCTGACAGGCTGATTTCAATGTGGAGAGTCGCACCATCTCGATTTTTCATATCTATGTCTCTGAGATTTTTTAAAATCTTGAGAACGCAAGCCAAGAAATGCGTGAAGTTAGTTTTGAAAACCGCTTAACGGGAATTAAGCCTCTTTTTTTTAGGAACGTCATTGAAATCAGCTTTGTTTTTTCACCACTGAGCGTTCTGTATGGGAAAACTAATTGCTATAACTGTTCGGAGCGACGTATGGTCATTTCGTCGGAACCGTTCGTCAATTATTCTTCTGCGTTCTCGCTGTAGCGTGACCAAACTTTGCCCCAAGCTGATGCCGCAATTTTTTTCTCAGTCGGACAACTCACTGCTACGAAAGACAAATTGGGTTCCTAAGTGGGGAAAAAATCACTTTGTCAGCTATCCGGGTTCCTCCCGTTTCTCCTCGGATGTAAACAACATGCATTTTGTTTTTCCTGTGCTCTCTGGAAAAAAGCCGCGTGGCATTGGTCATGAAAATCAACGATATATGATTCTGAAGTTTCATTGAACCGTCACAAAGCCGGAAAAATTATTATTCGTTTGAAAAGTTTTTGCTTTTTTAATGAGCGGGAAATAGCGTTAATCAGATGACCTTGATTATGCCAATGCATAATTCTTTCGAATTCAAAAAGAAAAGTCAATGCTAATTTATTTTTTTTTTTAGTTCATGTCTTGCGTGGATTAAATCTTTTCACGTGTCGCAACATTAATTTCTTCCTTTATTGCTGTGAACTAGGGTATTCTCATTCTTTCCATTTCATGCTTCGACGAATACACCAATACACGAAAAATACTTCCAGATCCCGGCGAAGTTTTCAAAATACGGTACAAGAAGATATTTAGGAAGAAAAATCCTGCATTAGTGCGGAAGTACGGTAATTTCAATCTCGTTTTCATTGAAAAACGTTTCCCGACTGTAAAAATCATCCCGGAAATCATACTGTGTTATACGAGTAAAAATAAACTCAGGACGGAAAACGTCGCAGATTTACAAGAACTGTGATCGTATTGAAGCCTGGAAATTTTCGAATTCAATCCTATTCTTCATCTGCATACGTTGAATAGTCTTTGCTCTCAATTCCTTATCGGAGTCCAGATTCAAACAATAGTCCATCCTTTTATAAGTGAAGGTGTCCGTTCATTGCTTATCTTTGGTTCGGTCTCCACGATATTTTATTCGAAATTCTGATCAAATGTTGGTTTTCTTTTGTTTCCAGCTGTGTTGGAGTCCCGATAGCAAGCAATTGCTCACAGCTTCCGGTGACAAAACGTGTCGAATCTGGGACGTGGCGACGAAACAAAGCGTGGCGGAGTTCGTGATGGGAGATTCGGTGGACGACCAGCAAGTTTCTTGCTTATGGCAAGGCGAACATTTGCTCACAGTGTCGCTGAGCGGTTTCATTACTTACCTGAATGTCAATGATCCGAGTACTCCCCTCCGAGTGGTGAAGGGCCACAATAAGCCCATAACTGCCCTTGCGTTATCCCCGGATAGGAAAACCATCTACACTGCCGCATCTGACGGATTCGTTACTCGCTGGGATGTCAAGACAGGTACGATTATCCGAACTTGACATGGTTTTTGTGTGGAGTAGTGCAGTACTCTCAGTTCTTCGCTTTTCATCCCTTTTTCCGAAAGGAGAAATAAAAATGACTAAGTAAACAGAGATGAAACTTGAAACAAGTACGGTTGGTCAAATGTCGTATGGTTGCAAGCAACCCTTGAAGATCGACTGATTGCCCTTCGCTGTAACTCACTCACACAGGTCCCGCGTAACGAAACGTATTCATTCCTGGATGAGTTTCGTTGCGACAAACGCATTCATATTAATTTATTCGATTGGCTCCAGCCACTCACAGAAAGACCATGATGAACCAATAAATTTTTGTATTTCTCAGCAGAAAATTGTAAATTTTAACATCGATTAGCATAAAATTGAAGTGATCACAACAAGTCTTCAGAAAGTCAATAACTTTCTGAATTTCTCGAATTTTAAAGGCGAGAAGATGCGATCCTTCATGGGGATTTTTTAAATTCCCTAGTTTCATCTGAAAACGTATTAAAAGTTGCGCATTTTTGGGCTTTGAAACTCGTTGTGTGATATAATTTTATGGCATGAGTCATGTTTTTCCCCCTGAAGATTTTGTTTTTGCGAACTTTTCCTTGTGTGGGTCGTTCTTTATTCTGGTACTCACTGTATTCCAAGAACGGGAAGACAAATCGTGGAGGATTTGAGAGCAAAATGCTCGTTTTCTTTGAAAAATGGGGGAACCCTTCTCTGAAATTGCTTTTATTAATGTTTGTATCACGAGTATTGAAAGGGATGCTCTAGATTAAAGTACTGTATTAGAGAAGCAGTTCCAAGATGGCATTGATGTCTTCGGTTGTGAAAATATTCTTTTGTCGAATGTTGGTTAATGGTTTTGGTAGTGCAGACTCCCGGTCGAACGGATAATCGAAGACCACAAATGAGGGTAGTTCGTCGAAAGGTTCTTCTATGAAAAGCCTATCTTTGTAAAACGTCCATCAGGACGCGGAAAATCCTGTCTCTTTCGAGGAAATAGCTGTTGGCGTTAAATTTACAGGATTCCACGTGTAGGTTCAGCAATCTTGGAATAACAAAATCGAATCCACATTGAAATACTGAGTGTCGAATGTGTGAATATCCTATTGGGTTGTCCTCGACAGGAGAAAACGAACGCATTAGTGGACAAGGACACGGTAATCAGGTCAATGACCTAACAGTTACGGCTTCCGGAAAAGTGATAAGTTGCGGGATAGACGACAGCTTGCGAGGGATCGACCCGTCTTCGAATAATTACGACCCTGGACTGCACACGCCGTTGGGTTCGCAGCCCCGGGGAGTGGCGGCTGTCTTGGCGGATGCTGGTGCTGGGGACGCCGGCATTACTGTTGTGGCAGCTTGCGTGGACCAAGTCGCCGTTGTCCGCGGCGGCAGAAAGATTGCGTCGCTTCCGATCGATTACGAAGGGCTGTCTGTCGCAATCGGACCAATCGAATCTGGAGACGTGGTTGTAGGTGGTCAGGATAACAAGGTAAAAATCGTGAACATATTCAATTAGACGATGTATGTGATGATTTTTTGAGTAGAGTTTGTTTTCACTGAGTTTCCAGTCTCACGAATGCTGAAGAGACGCTGTCCGTAACGGTAGACGCCGAGTGTAAATTAAACGCAGTCCAAGACGCAATACAATTTTTTAATGCTCTTCTGACGCTCTTGGTGACAGGCTTGCTTTTGGCAAAGAAATGACGAAGATTTGGGGTTCGCGTTCCCCTTTTATGGCTTTTCCCCAAGACTAATGGAGCATTCTAACAAGCTTGCTCGTTAACAAGCTCACTTGTTGTACAGGAGGGAGCCAATTAGTTTTCAACAGTTACGCTACATTGCAGGTGCAACCGCGCGTTATTCACAATTGTTTCTCTTGCAAAAATGTACAAATATTTCCACAGATGTACCTTCTAAACTAGTTGCACTCGAGTCAATTTTCGTTGAGTTGAATTTTACGTGAAAAGGAATGCGAGAGTGGAGCATTCTGGTGACAAGAGAAAATTGCGGTTCTTTTTTTCACTTGGATACCTTCACATCGAACAGAACACACATAACATTGTTTAGGGAAATTTGAACTCGTGCGAGTTGAATTTTTCCACAAAAACAGCAATAGTGAATATTGATGCCGAAATCTGCAGGATTTTTTCCTGCAACAACCATATCAAGTTCACCTATCTTGTAAGTATTTTTCACACGGGTTAGGAGCGCCAGTGAATGATTCAAAAGAAAAAAGTTAGGTGCACTCTTTGCGAGCTTTTTCTTTCAACTTGATCAGTAATTTGTTTTTAGTAATGCAGTATAGTACTTGTTCCATCACCAATAAAAATTGATAATTGAGGTCGAACGCAAAGAAAATTATCGTATCAAAGGTCGGATGACTTTCTGATCGTGGATTCATTCCTGTTCAATAAAGGTATTAATCATCTGCTGTTTTTTTGTCTTCGTATTTCATTTCCAGGTTCACATTTACTCACTCTCAAAGGATGGCACTATTTTGACCCCGAAGAAAGAATTGGAACACCTGGGTGCGGTTGTTGATTTGCATTTCTCTCCGGATGGTCAGTTCCTCGCCACTGCCGATTCCTATAGGAAAGTCATGGTTTATCGTCTTCCAGATTATTCCGTGAGTATTATTAGTGAATTCCTGTCCTGCTCCTTTGAACTTATTCGAGGGATAATCCTCTGGCTGTTACCTTGTGATACAGTTGGCTCATAAGAGTGACTGGGGCTTCCACACTGCCAAAGTGAACTGCGTTGCTTGGAGCCCGAACTCGGCGCGTGTCGCGTCTGGAAGTCTGGACACGTCCATCATGATATGGAGCATGGACAAACCGAGCAAGCATTACGAGATCAAAAATGCCCATGCGATGAGTCAGATCGTGAAGGTCGCTTGGATCGACGATGTCACTTTGGTCTCAGTTGGCCAAGATAGCAATACGAAGCTTTGGAATATCCCTGCCGATCTGTGAATCCGTGTCGTGTTCATTACTTTGTGGAGGGATGAAGGCGATGAGCGCGAGGCCCCGTTTTGAAAAAAGAAATAATCATCGTTCCGCTTGGAGGATCTATTTTCTGTCCCAAGTTTTCATTTCAGCATTATCCTCTCAATTCGTAGCGTTGAAAACTCACCAAATTTTAGTGTCTGCTTTGAATGTCAGCGTGCTGTTCAGAGATTCAGTGACGATTGAGGTACTGTAATCGAAGTTTCGGAAAGATTTTGATTTGAAGAACGAAATGCTTCGTATCAGCACGAAACGGTACTTGTTCTCACTGCTAATATTTTGTTTTTTCGTTGAAGTCTTCGTTTTGTTTTGTTGTTTTTCTACCTGAATAATTGGACTTATGGGTTGTGAGGAACTTGCGGATTAATTTCCCCGGCGTCATTTCATTCTGAGCTTGGGATATCGAATATGTACTCATTGATCGCGAGCTTGATGTTGCTTTTCCGTTGTGAGACAGAGTTATATTTATTGAGCGATATTTATTAACTTCGGCTTTCTTTGAGTATTTACCTTGAGTGCCTTGTGGTCCGTGTTTCTATGGCATGGATCATATTAGGTGTATTGTCCTGGGAAAAGATCAATTCAGCTGAATGTTTCCATTTATTTTTTTTTCGCAATTTAAAGCAGCAGGAAGACCCTAATGTTCACGGAAGTCCCGCTTGAGACTGAATTGAGAAGTTTGCTAATTGGGCGTTTCAGCATCTATTTTCGAATCGTTTCTTGCGATTTATTAAAAATTTTGATGTGCAATTATGAACGAGATATTCTTCTGTTTTAATTGGCAAATATTTGAAAAGGTTTTTCGTCTGATCTGTCTTTGGCAAATGGCTTTTCTTGAAGCCCATTGAGGCCACTGACTTTGAAATCAAGTTGAAAGATTAAGGACACTATTTTAATGACCACGTGTGGAGTCGGTATTGTGAGATCAACTTTGAAAATGTCTTTAGATGAATCGTATTTCTTCATTACAATTATTCGCTATGATCTACGGAGGTCGATGCGGAACATCTATGAACATGAAATAAGGCCCTGTTATGACGGTGAAATCAACTTGTGTTTTTATATTCGTTTTCCGGTTGCGTTCGATTTCCAGATCAAAGTGAAAAGTGACAGTTGCGCGTGCGAAAAGATGGTGAGTGTTTTGCGCGTCGCAACACCAAAATAATTCAGAATTGATGAAAAGGTTCTTTTTTGCAGTTGTTCTTCTCGTTTTTCAAGTCATTGGTGCAGAAGGAAGTAGTCGTAGAGCTGAAGAATGATCTCTGGTGTGTAAACCATTTTTCAACCGTTTCCCATTGAAGCCGCTCGAGGTTTTTCATGTAATTTTTTGCAGCATTTGTGGGACCCTGCATTCTGTGGATCAGTATCTGAACATCAAGTTGACAGACATCAGCGTAACTGATCCTGAGAAGTACCCGCATATGGTGGGTCATGTTAGCCTCTAGATTTTCAGGGTTCTAACCACATTTTATTTCAGCTTTCTGTGAAGAATTGCTTTATACGTGGCTCAGTTGTTCGCTACGTCCAGTTGCCCAGCGACGAAGTGGATACTCAGCTTTTGCAAGACGCTGCGAGAAAAGAAGCTCAACAGGGAAAAGCTTCGTAAAGTTCAAGGAATCCTGCTTTTTTTTATTGTGTTTGTCGAATGAAAAAAAAAAAAAAAAACAAGAAAACTGCGATTAATATACGGAAGTTTCGTTATTCAAGTTTGTTGGCTTGGTGAGTTGCACTGATCGAATGACGATAGTGGAATCCGCTGTCGAGTTCGATTTTGAAGAAGTTTTAATCGCGCAAATTTTCATATTTTTGTTCTTTGTTCAAGCTGCCCTTTGCATTTCTTCTCCAATCATGTTATTGTGTCAATCCACATCCTATGGACAAATCATGAATAAATTGAGTTAGTTACGATTTTAACGGTCAAGTTGTTCACGATGTGTGACTTGAGTGAGTCATTGTAAAGGGTAAGAGGGAAGGTTCATTAGGACGTCGGCATTATGTTAAGTTATTTGAAATTTATTTTTGGGTTAGTTTTCGGTTGGATGTAGGTACTGGTTTTGTTCATTCACGACGTTGGTTTTCGATCAGTTCAGTCCTTTGGTTTGTGTTGTTTAAGGTGTTCATCTGGAGTTACTTGACGTCGCAGAATCGGTTGATCAAGTTATTCTAATATTAAATTAGCTTAAAGATTTTGATCGTTGCAGCAGCAGCGCTTTATCAAAGTAAAGATAAAGGGAAGGAGGCAGTTTCAACAATGATGTACCAATTCATGGGCTTGGAAAAGTAGATCTTGCGTAAGAGAAATACTCGCAAGTTCCACGTCGATCTTCGTGATTTATTAATGAGTGTTTCTAGAAAGCAGTGTCCTCATATTTGCAGATTGATGGAATATCTTGCTAGGTTGTTGGAACCATTTTTCCGGCTTTTTCGGTGGCTGACATTTTTTCGCGATCCGTCCATTGGAAATAAGAACGTTGACCCGTCGAAGCTTGAGATCAATGTTCGAAATCCGGGTGGAAAGTGTTTGCTCACGACTATTGACAAGAGTAGCAGCGTTGCAGAAATGAAGAAAGAACTTGCCCCGCGGTTATGTCCACCTGCCGGGGATCCTGAGACGATCCGAGTGATTTTCGCCGGGAAAGAACTTCCTGACCAGGTTAATCATTTGAATTTCAATGACGCGTTTCTAATTCAATTCCAACGCTCGAAAGCAACTTGTGTTCGTCTACGAATTGATGAAGTTGTTGAGGGTATTTTACTAAAGTTTGAAGCATAATCTGGGTTCAGGTATAAAACAGACCATTCTAGTACAAATTTGGGTAGGTGTATGGACGACTTTTTCCTCTAGTTCAGTACTGCCCGATTCGAATTCGGCCGAGATCCACATTGCAGAAGTGGAGAGTCCTTGCGGGCTAAAATAGAAAAATAGCATTTGACGTTCCAAAATGTTCCCTTTTAAATAACAATTTTCCAAATTCAACAACTACTGTAGTGCTGTTTGTTGAATTACGAGCATAGCCTTATATAATTTTTGAAGGGTGGAGCAACATTTTGAAGTCATCTTTCAATGTATATTTTTAATGGTGATGTATGCCATCTTGAAAATTATAGGGAAGGGTCGTGGCATGGATGAAAAGCTTCGGCTGGCCATATCTGGCCCGTGGGCCGTATATTGAACTGTACTGTAGTCAGTTTTGTTTTTCGATTGACGTTTGTTTGTGAGGTTAACTTCGCGTGGAAGAAATTAAACTGAGCTAAACTTTGATGTGCCGTTCGCTACTGTAATCCATTGTGTTCGAGGAGATGCTGAATTCTTCATGGAAGTGTGTGAGATTTTTATTGAACTGGGTTCTACATTTGGCATATTGAAAAGTGCTGCACAATGCATCGTGGCCGCACCAGGTCTAGTTCTCCAATTTAAGATCTTTTTAGGATCAATGCTGTCCGTTATTTTCGTAAATTTGATATACAGTACCTTTATTTCGGGCTTTAGAAAAAATTCGCCGTCTTATTTTGCAGCTCACGCTAGAAGAATGCGATTTCGGACCGAAAACAGTGATACACGTTGTCTTTGGTAAGGGCGCCGGTAAGCCTGCGGATCATACCGAAGTATCTCCGAAACTGTTGCCAGAGATTTTAGCAACGTCTCTTGCTGAACCACCTTCGATTCGTGGTGAAGATGAAGTATCTGTTGGTGACGTTTCTTCAGAGAAACTCGATCCTGTGCAATCCGAGGAAGAAGTGAATTCTAGTTCGGTTTCTTCGGATGTTCAAGTCGAAAAACGGAGAGTTAACACGTTCTTTGTTCTCTGTTCTTGGCGTGCGTGTGCCGGGAAGCTGCGAGTCCGATGTGATGTATGTAAAGAAGGTAGGATTATATAAATCTCCATCTCCCCTTTTTTAATACCAAACTTCAGTTTTTGTCCTGCCTCTTACTATAGGCTATTTTTCTTCATTTGAGTCACTTGATGGTCGCAGTTTATGTCAGTGTTGGAGCGCTAAAGTAGTTTGTGTCACGCGAAAAAGTTTATGTGGCTTGAAGTTAATATTTTTAAATCTAGCTCTTATACATTCTTATACTGTATTCTGAGTTTCTGGACGAAATTGAATCGTAGGTATCGACGCAATTGGTGAAAAGAATGAATTTAACTAAATCTGAAGAATTTCCCTTGCGGAATTGGCATAAATACCAGTACTATATGTTTGCCTCAAGAGGTTGTACTTCGAAAGAACATATCTCGCGAGACGAAGTATAAAAACGAGGAAATACTGAAAAGCCTGAAATTTTGTACTGTAATCTGCCTTTTTTTTGTACTTGTACGGAAATTGAATTTTGAACTGGTTATACTTCCTCGTGTTATACCCTCTAGTTCTCGTTATTTTGATGTCCGGTTCTTGGAAAACCTTAGAAGCTTCAGCCAACGGCAGTTTTCTGCTGATCGGTTACTGTTTCTTGAGTTCTTTTATGACCGATGATTATCGATTCCCTCTTCGATAGGTGCTATCACGGTCTTGAGGGAGCCGGAATCCTGGCAGGACGTATTGATTCGTGGACGCGTTCACGGCATTTGCGAAAATTCCGAGTGTAATCCCGGTCAAAGTCAAGAACAAGTTGTGGAGTTCTTCTTCAAGTGTGCGGAACACGGGGACGCAGATGTTGTTCCATTGCCTTTGGTGCGTGACAACACCCGAGACGTGCCGTGTTTGGCGTGTACTAGTGTTGAGAATCCCGTGCTTGTGTTTTCCTGTGCCCTGGGGCACGTGGTGTGTCTCGAGTGTTTCGTAATGTATTGTAGCACGCGGCTCAACGACCGGCAGTTCGTAGTGAGAGATGACGGATATTCTGTCGGATGTCCGGTGGGTTGCGGTAATTCCTGGCTCGATCGACCGCAGTACTTCAAACTCTTGGGCAAAGAGCTGTACTCGAGGTAAGAGCACCACTAGGTAGGTGTGCCTACATGGTTTTGTGATGAATTCGTTGATGGGTATTTGCGAATACGATTATTAGTGCCAAGCAACGCAGAACTGCATAGATCCATAGAAGATGGGGTTGTATGAGAAATTTGTAAAGAAAGTAGGATAAGTGCGTAGCAAGTAAGCCCTTTAATTTATTTATTTTTTTGTCGCGCGGTACTTACTGAATCCTTAGATCAGATGTTACTATGGAAGATGCAAGTCTCACAATGAGAAAACTTGAGATGACTCGGTGTGAAGTTGAAGCACAGTGAGTACCCGCATAACGGAAAACTCCCGCAAGAAATAATCCGCATCGAAAAATTCTCTGGGAGGAAAACGTGACTCATATAAGGATATTGTCTCAATTTACGAAAATTTCGGCTGCAAAATGTTTAATTTAGATGAAGTTTGAGCGAAAACTTCAGAATTTTTCAACGAAATTAAAGAAAATTACGAAAGAAGGAGATAGTTTCCTTTTTTATTTGTGAAATGCTGGAACTCAAGTGCAAAAACGTGTCGGGAATCTCAGTATCACCTAAATTTAACACGACTAAATATAAAATTCACAAATTTTTGCTGGAAACTAAGAATGGTATGCAGATATCAACTTATGAGCTTTTCGTGAGTTTCTGGATCGCATTCATTCATGTATGATGTAACCTTCAAACATATCGCGTTCCGCGTTAGGGGAATTTCCCATAAACAAACGCGTCTAGGAACGGATTAGTTGCGTTATGTTGGTTGCAGTGTACTATTTGAACGGCCCGTGATCATCTACCTCTCCGAGAAGCAATTCTTGATTGTAGTAGCTGTAATTTATTGTTAGGATTTTTGGACTTAGGAAGTAAAATCTCGTTTCAACGAAGCATTTGGGACCTTGAAAAAAGCTTTGTAGTAAACAAAACATTTTTGAAACAAAATTAGATTAAAGTTGTGGCTATTGGCCAGGGACTGATGAAAAATAAATTCATTTTAAGCATTAATTCGTTATGAAGAAATTCTGCTGTATTTAGTTCTTGTAGCTCGTAGAAAAAATTCGATACATTTTACTGTACAATATAACAAATTCCTGGGACGTTTTAAACATTTATTTGAACGCCGTTAATTACAATTAGGTATCAGACGTTTGCCGCGGAAGATTTCGTTCTGCGCTCTGGCGGAGTTCTGTGCCCTCAACCTGGCTGCGGAATGGGAATCCTTTTACCCGAGGGCTGTGGGGACTTCCGTCGTATCGTCTGCGATCGTGAAGGCGGCTGTGGATACGTGTTCTGCCGCGATTGTCTTTCCGGCTATCACATTGGTCCATGTCTGTCATCCGCCTCCTCTGCAACGGCGGCGGCTACCACTGGAGCTGGCGATGCGCATCGGTCGACTCAGTCATCATTTGGTATTGCGGCGGATCGCGTTGGAGCGGCGACGTGGGACGCGGACGCCAAGACGGTGCGGCTTTTATCGAAACCGTGTCCGAGTTGTCGCGTGGCGACCGAGCGTGATGGCGGCTGCATGCACATGACTTGTCGTTGCGGATATAATTGGTGCTGGGTTTGTCAAACCGAATGGACTCGGGATTGCATGGCGTCTCATTGGTTCCTGTAATCTCATTCGGGACGAGGAGCACTCGGTGTGTGTCGTTTTTGTCACCGAGGAAAAATTAATTTCTCAGGCTACTGATTTCAAGTAGAAAATTGTTCTCCGCGTTAACGCCCGACATCCTTGACTCCATTAATTTCTTTGAATTTATTCTAGTGTCATTCAGGATTTTTTTAAAGTTTCATCTTGCCCTTGTTCGCTTGGGTATTCTGGATAAAATTATGAATCGGTGTTACAGGATAAGTGTTACAGGATAAGTAAATGTAGGTCTGTTCGGTGAGTTTACCGGATTTGCAATAAGCTATTTATTTTTTCAGGGAAGTTCTCGCGATTTTCGAATGCGGCCTATATTCAAGATATGGACTGTAGTCTCATGTATGCGTCTGTAGTCTCTCTCCGTGCTTTTCACTAGGTTGAGGAAATATCCACCACAAAGATTATCTGTGGCGTCCAGAAGTTGCCTCACTTCTTGCTTCTTGGGATGATGCTTCATGACGAAATCTTGGACTCTTTCCCAGTCTTACAAGCATTCCTTTATGTCAGCATTTTTTGAGGGAAACCTCATGTGTTTCAGGCAATCCATGTGCTTCCTCTTCTTTCATAGAAGCCATTTCCCTCAGATCCTCCACACTCAGGTCTTCACCATTTTCTTCGATCAGTTCTGTTAGATCTTCTTCATCCACATCCATGTTTAGATTTCTGACAGTGGCAACAATTTCAGTAAGAATTTCCTTTTCATCTTCTCCATCAATTACAGATTGGCAGGCTCTTGGCATCAGATGCTTCCAAGTAGAGTTGAGGGTTCTTTTAGTGAACTTCCATGCGCTTGTGATGAGAAGGATGCTTTCCACAATGGTGAAGTTTTTCTTCCAAAAAGTTGTCACAGTCACTTGATCCTTGCTCAGCTGGCACTGGTCAAACAGCATGTCAAGAAGAAGCTTTGTGTATTGCTTCTTGAAGTTGGCAATCACCATCTGATCCATGGGTGTTGGATAGTGGTGGTGTTTGGAGACATGAATTCAATCTGAGGAAAAAACAAAGTTGAAGAAAGATTACAGACCTCATTTTGTACACATCTCATTCACACTTCCAAGAATCAGATCAGGACTGAGAAGGCAAAATCACTCTGATCCAACTGTTGGCTGGCTTCAAAGCTTGGCAAGTAGGGTGGCCAAGGGCATTTTCCAATAGCAGAAGTGCCTTCACCTCCATGTTGTTATTCTGAAGGAATCTCTTGACTTCAAGAGCAAACACATCATTCAGCCACTCTGTGAATACATCTGTAGTGACCCAAGCTTTCTTATTTGCCTTCCAAAACACTGGCAGCTTGTTCTTGTCAATATTCTTTCCCCTGAAGGCCCTTGGGGTTTCAGACTTGTATGCAAGCATGGGCTTAATCTTGCAAAGTCCAGTTGCATTTGAACACAGTAGGATGGTTAGCCTGTCCTTCATGAGCTTCCTTCCTGGCATCTTCTTCTCCTCCTGGGTGATGTAGATGCCTTCAGGAAGTTTTTTCCAGAATAGCCCAGTTTCATCTGCATTGAAAACTTGATTGACAGTGTAGCCTTCTTCATCTATGATGTCCTTGAATGCTTCAAGGAGGTTTGCAGCCTCATGATTGTCAGCACTCCCAGCTGCTTCTAACATATTGACATTTATAATAATTCCAGTCCTTTTCCTAAATCTGTGGAACTAGCCATTGCTAGCTGTAATTTAAAAAATCAATAGAATCATGATTTTAATATTTCACTCAAAGATGACTCATTGGGATTAAAGTACTGTAATGTAATGTACTAACCTCTGAAGCCATTATGTTCTTCTTGGTCTTCTTCCTCTCCATTTTCTTCATGATCATCTTCAGTTTCTCCAGGATAATCCTTGATGATTTTTTTGTATATTCTTCTGGCCTTGTAGATGTGCTCCCCAGACACAGGATCACCTCTCATTTGCATATCTTCAATCCTCAGGAGTAGAAGCTTTTCCATTTCATCCAATACTGGAGGCCTGTGCTTTTTGTTGTGGATTTTTGAGGCACCCTTTGAAGTGGTCTCACAAGCAGCCAAGATTTTGTCCCTGTTTGTCCAGATTGTATTGATGCTTTGGTTGGGCAATCCATACTTTTTTGCAACATCTACTTGTTTTACACCACTTTCAATTTGTTCAATCATCACTCTTTTATTATCGAGAGTTATGAGTTTCCTTTTTTGCCACTCTTGTTGGATGTATTAACTTTTTCTCTCTGCAAAAATTGGGCAAAACAGGCAAGATTACAACCAAGAACTCAGAAGCACAATGCATTCAAACAAAAAATAATGATGATTTTCACTCAAATTATGTAGGGAAGCAAGGGGGACGTGAGGGATGCAAGTCCAACTGCTGCGCACATTGTAACAGATCTGTTGGGCAGATTCAGTCCACTAGGCGGAAGGGGGGGGGGGGACAACCTCCTGAGGTGGTCCATTTGGCAAAAATATGTATGACAAGAGGTCTGTTGAGCAGGGGGGGGGGGCATTGAAGAAGTCTACACTGCCAATCAAGTTTTCAATGCAGATGAAACTGGGCTATTCTGGAAAAAACTGCCTGATGGCATCTACATCCCCCAGGAGGAGAAGAAGATGCCAGGAAGGAAGCTCATAAAGGACAGGCTAACCATCCTACTGTGTTCCAATGCAACTGGACTTAGCAAGATTAAGCCCATGCTTGTGTACAAGTCTGAAACCCCAAGGGCCTTCAGGGGAGAGAATATTGACAAGAACAAGCTGCCAGTGTTTTGGAAGGCAAATTAGAAAGCTTGGGTCACTAGAGATGTCTTCACGGAGTGGCTGAATGATGTGCTTGCTCTTGAAGTCAAGATATTCCTTAAGAATAACAACATGGAGGGGAAGGCACTTCTGCTATTGGACAGTGCACAGTGTTCTGCATAGATTTCTTGGATTTCAAATCATCTATATGTTGAATTTTTTTTTTCATCATTCTCCGCTGCTTACGATTTTTATTGGGGAATTAGGAGGTGTTTTTTTGTGCATGAACTTACGCTGCTTACGATTTTTATTGGGGAATTAGGAGGTGTTTTTTTGTGCATGAACCGCATTTTTCCAAAACTTTCGTAATGTGTATGTTTACAGGGTTGTACGCTTGAATTGCTAATTCTATGAAACAAGTGACACCTGCTTCACATGTAAGGTTGGGCATTCAAGCAACGAGTTAATTGAAGTTACTGTAGAAAACAGAACGCCTTACTTGAAATTTGCCATTACTCCCCATCTCTAGAATATGTTCAAGTGCCGAGAAGAGCATCATCGGAGAAAATGAGATGCTTCAAAGCTGTGTTCTTTTGTCAAAACCGTGTTGCCTTATACCAGTGCGTCTAATCTTGTAAGGCTCGTGTTTAGTTGTGATTTAGACCTATAATTGTGTGCAAGAAATTGGTGACAGGAATTCGTGATGAATGATGTAACAAGTGACGCATCGTAAATTGCGGTGTTGATTAGACTTGTTTTTGATTATATGATGTCTGAATAGCATCGCTATTGGGCAGTTGAATGTATCCGAAAGGGGCGCTTCTAGAACAGCGTGTGGCCAAAACCGCGCTTTTGAGGAACAGTCTAAAAAAAATTCAATTATACCGTAAAACGAAGCATTTTTCAGCAAAATTGTTTGGCAGTATCCGAACAATGTTGTGGCTTGATTGGATACAGGGTTATTTTCATAAATGTAATGGTGGGATTCTGTAAGCTTTATTTTTAACTCATTCAGTTGATAAGAGTTTATGCATTTGTGTTCATGTCTGTTTATTTCTTGACGTGCGCTGTTCTGGTCCCACGCTTTTCGATATGCGGTCTACAGTCTCAGCTTGAAGATTACAGGGCTCATGTTTCTCTTTTTCTGGATTTTCCACAGGTTACGTGTGAATCACCTTCTTAAATGTGGTGCTTTATGTCCGCATGAAGTTGAACAGTTTTATGTGAAATACTTGGAGTCCTTAGTGATGGAAGGCGGATGACGGGTGTTGGACGTTCGGCGGGCAGTTGGTGAACGTTTTCAGAAATAGGGGAAAAATGACTGCTGGATCGTGGATGCGAACGCTGACTCGGTCCTCTTTTGTGCCTATTCTGGTCGTGCTCGTTTTCAGTGGGATTGTGATTCAACAACAAGTCTTTCTTCTCCGGCAGCGCGTGGAAAATTTGGGTGAGGCCTCCTGTTGAAAACTTGGACTTGTCAATAAAAATATCGGAGGTATTGCTGAAATTTATTTTCCTTGCGACTGATTGAGCCTGCGATCAATTGTCAATATCCTTTTGAAAAAAATTTGCGATAGAAATCAATCAAGTGAACCTCAACTGAACTGGTACCCGATTATTAAGAGTACTGTATACTGTACAGTAATTCTGAATTGCTTGAATGAAATTTAATCTCGTGTGTCCTGTACCAGTACCTCATAATATCAAGTTGAGCCCCTTTATTTTCCCTTAAGATTAGTTTTTTTGAAGGACAAAAACGGAAGGATTAAATGGCTCACGAAGCATTAATTTTTTTTTCGTGATTCTTCCGCTTTCGAAGCATTTCTATTTTTAATACCACGAACGTAAGATCGGGGCAGGTGATTGAGAATGCTTCCAGCTGGCATATTCGTAATGCTTCATTGCGAACAGGAGGAAGAAGAATTGCAGGAAATTTTAATTGGTGATATTCTTGGCCTTGAATTACGTTTTAAATGAGTCGACGGACTGCTGAACTTGGAGGCATGGGTCCATTTGCCAAAATGGTCTTTCACTTCCTTTCAAACACCTCGCTAAATTTTTAATGCTTACCTCTCTCCTATGTCATTTAGATAATGGCCAAAAGGCCTCCAGAAAATTCGAGGTTCGAGGAGGAAGGTCCTCGAGTTGAGATTTTCAATGCATTGTTTCTAAGGGATTTCAAACAGAAACGGAAACAAATTTGACGTAGGGAGACATTCGATTTAGATAGAATTGAGTCATCCAGTTTAAACTGTATACCCGCGCGACTGTGTTATCAGATTACCACGATATCTATAGATCCTTGGAACAGTTTTCGGAATAACCATTCAAAGTCGTAAAATGTCTAAAAATCACCCGTTTTTTTTTTTTTTTTTTTTTTTAAATCAGAAATGGCACTTGGAGTTGAACGTGCTGCAACGAGGAGCTCCGGATCGTTGCTGAATCCCAAGCCTGCACAGGCTCCGTTGGTGATCTATAACCGCGTTCCGAAGACCGGTTCTACGTCTTTCATGGGTGTTGCGTATGATTTATGCACGAAAAATAGCTTTCACGTTTTGCATATCAACACAACGAAGAATTCGCACGTGCTTTCATTGCCTGATCAGGTAAATAACCTCATCTGTCTTCGTGATGACAAAAAAAATCGATCGATACCGTAACCACTCGAGTATAATACGTCATCGATTAGAAACATGCCTATACGGTTTTTGAGTTCCTGAAAGTGTGTCCTTTTTTTCTGAATGAGAGGAGTCTTTTGATGTTATTGATGTTACATTTGCCAGCTTAAGTTACGCGAACAATTCTGACAAAAACACGGAATGTTTGTCTTGTACCCTCGAAGTGAAAATTATTGTTAAGATTGTGCAATTTAGCTATGTTCGGACAATTTCAATTCAAAAAACTGTGATCGTAAACTTTACGTTTGAGGATGAAAATTTAAGATGCCTCCGTAAAAAGATAGAAACCGCAGAAGAAAATAGGACACACGTTGATCTTTTAGGAAATGATCGCGAAAGATGTCTCATAAACCTTTGAATATCGTATCCAATCAATTTTCCATATTCTACAACGTACGTGGATTAATTCGTGCTTTCTTTCCTCTTTCAAGGCCCGTCTTGTTCATAATATAACCGAATGGGTTGAAAAACGTCCTGCCATTTATCATGGACACCTTGCTTACGTAGATTTCAACCGGTGAGTTTCAATTAGTGTTGAACTGTTTTTCTTTGTGTAAATACAGTAGTGTTTTTGAAAAGAGCTAGTGTCGAAAAGGCAAAAGTGCTGGATCAGTTGCGTCAGTAACCAAATCTGACCTTTTCTGTTAAAAGTTGCTATTCGTGCAATTGCTTTTCTGTTGACTTGCTCTTTTTTACACCTGAGTTTTTGAGACTTTGTTTGGTTTTGTGCTCCGTGTTGATCGAAAATTACTTATGTTCAAGGTTTGGTGTCGCGGACCCACCGATTTATATCAATATTGTCCGACGTCCGTTGGACAGAATGGTTTCTTATTACTACTTCTTACGATATGGAGATGACTTCCGTCCGCACCTGAAACGACGGAAGAAAGGCGATAAAATGGTTAGAGAAACCTGCCTTTTTGAGTGTATTTTTTGTACCGTTAAGCTCCTGATTATTTTGAAGAGAGCGCGATTTTGTATGTGTATGTTATGTCGAATTATTCTTCCAGTCAGAATTTAACAAATTTGGGAACTTCCGTTTTCGAGGCATGAATCTCTTTTTGAATTTGCTCATTATGTGATACTGATATAAATTATTTTATGAAGACTTTTGACGAATGCGTGGAGAGCGGACTGCAGGAATGTGACCCGAAAAATTTGTGGCTGCAGATACCATTTTTCTGTGGACATGCAGCTGCGTGCTGGTTAGTTGGCTTTTACAAAATTTCGAAAGCTGTTCATTTGAAAGACTTCACTTGATTTTTTTGTTGTTGCCAGGGAGCCTGGGAATGCGTGGGCATTGGAACAAGCTAAGCACAATCTGGTGCACAACTATTTTCTAGTCGGTGTCACTGAGGAGTTGGAAGATTTCGTGGCTATTCTGGAGTACGCCTTGCCCTCATTTTTCAAAGGAGCTCAGCAGCAATTGATTGATGGTAATTTCGCATTTATTTTTGGATCGATTCGAACTGATTTCCCGTGATTTAGCTTTCTTGATATGCAAATACTGTATTTAGATACCTTGGTGACATTTGTTATGGACCGTATTCATTTAAAAAGCTGTTACAGTTGAACCTCACTAAATAGAACCTCCCTATGTCAAACTTTTTCAACTCCTTGTCTGAATTACATTGGAAAAAATTCATTAAAAATCTCCCTGACTCCAAGGCTTTCCCCTGAACCTTCACAATTCAATTTTCTTGTCGACTTTTAGCTTTTCTTTTATTGGCACAGGAAAAATAAAGAAAAGAAGTGTTTGTTTTGAAAAAAGTGAGGGTATAATTGGGCAAATGAACACAATTCTCCACGTTCAGCATCCTGTCTACTCATTTAAAAAGCAATATAAGGTCCGGAATATCACCAATCACAATTTCCTGTATTTTTGCCTTCTTTCCCCAACAAAAGTGCTTGTTTCCCCTTTTCAAAATCTTGTGGAATTTATTTTCGTTTTTTATCCCTTGAAGTTTGACTTGTAGAGGTTCGACTGGAGTAGAAGAGTCTTCGTGTGTCTTCTGAAGTCCGACTTTAATGTGTAGTTTTCTGTGTAGCAACAGCTTTCATTTAAACTTGTCGCCTGGAATGTTATCTCGAGTCTCGACCTCCAATTTTCCACCTCAATTCAACCTAAAATAATTGCGAACTGTTTTCGAATGCGAGGAGAACGCGAAAAAAATCTTCAAGCTTTAAAAATCGTCGCAGTTTGAAGTAGTCAAGCTGGATGAGTCAATATGCAATGGTTACCTTGTGAAAAATCTATCGTTTTGGTGACCATAAGTAAGACATGCCTAGGTGCTTGAAGTCGTGGAAGTCTCGTACTGCTTTTATTTTTCTGCACGCATGTACCCATGAGTAAATTTCAGCTTCGTGTTTTTCCCCCTGTGTCACTCACAATAGTTGCCGGCGAAAAATTGATTTTCTCTGAAGTAACATTGCATTTTAAGATTTTTAACTCATGTTTAGATGTAGTTCGCGCTTGGAGAATATTTTAAATTCATCTAAACGGGAGTAATTTTGTAAAAAAGTCTTCTTGGGATTCTTCACGTTTGCCGACGATTGTTTCTTGCAGGTAACAAAGGCCATTTGAGAAAGACGAGCAATAAGACGACGCCTAGTGCGAGAACAGTCGTCGCCATACAAAGCAGCGAAGTCTGGAGAATGGAGAACGAATTCTACGAATTTGTCCTCGAAAATTTCCACGCGGTGAAAAGACGCGCTCTCGTTTTGCAGTCCAATTCAGACGATGAGGCCGACGCTACGTTGACCAGGGACCGTGTGCCAGAAATAATGGCAGAAGTGGGACAGAAATTCCATTTTGAAAAGATACGACCCAAGTGAACATGGTTGCTTTGACTATTGTTGAATTTCGCTTTTTTTATTTTTGTCAGGGTGTGGCCATGTGTGTGTATGGTGATAAGTTTTGCATTCCTTTGTTAGGCCAGTTTCCGAGTTTTGTTTTGCGAAGTACCTGAGCCAATCAAACCAGCATTCATCGAATTGTGTACATTTGACGTTTCAGGATTAGGCGTTTGGAGTTGGAACAAAATTTTGGAGTTTACAGCGATGTTCTGATCATTGTTGAATTTGCACTGTCAGTGTATTATGGTAGCTTATATGTTTTTATGCCAAGTTCAGTCATTTTCTCCCCAGTTTGGCTCGATTCCGTAAATTTAGTGAATTTTTTTTCTGACGGTAAAGATAACTTGCATTTTCGCTTGAAACATTTTTTGTTTCTAAGGGGAGCAGCTTTTTCTTTAAAAGTTCGAGTCTGATCGTAACTGAAGCTATTTTTGAAGACGTTGGTGCATTGGTATTTCTGAAAGGAGCAGCGTTGAAATTTTTCGATGATCGAAGAGGTTTTATTCGGTTTCTGAACCGAAAACGAAAGTATACTGTATTTGCAACAGCGCCATATGAACGAATGCTATCGTTTTTTCTCTTGCCGTTGGATTATTGCCGTTTTCATGCGAGTTTGAAACACTATGGGTTTTTCGACGAACCCCAATTTTTTAGCCATTCAGAAAGACGATGTTCAAAAATTCAGATGCATGTAATTCGTAGCGAAAAATCGCTGTTGAAGATCTGCCTGTAAATTAAAAGATCTGTTTGGACTGATAAAATTATTTTTTCTCAAAGAGTTTTGCTTAGAGAAAAAAATCTTCGCTTAGAGAGTTCAAGTGCATCTTCTGTGAAGATAATTTTTTTTAATGGTTGAACTTGTTTTAAAGTCACTGTTTTTTTTTTTTTTTAATTGAATTTACATCGATAAGTGGCTGTTCCATAAAACCGACTGTACAGTTTTTTGAACTGACTGTCATTCAAAAAGACCTGCTGAGAAGAAAAATTTTGTGAGAAAATGTCTAGCATTCACATTTTAAGTTTTTCATCATGCAGATCATGTCATGAGCTGATCGACAGCGATGGAAGTCTCTTCAATGAGTTGAAGATGGAATGCCCATTTTCTGATGCCACGTTCAACTGTAATTAACAAAATTAACAAGGCGATTTACCGTATTTATTCGAGTACCACGCGCCCTCGAGCAAGACACGCACGTTAGATTTTGTGACAAACATTTTGGGGAAATCTCATCCCCACATTAGACGCGCGCCTTCGTTTTCAGTTACCTAAACTAATATTTTAAAAACCTTGTTGGGTAAAAATCTAAATTGAAGCCCAGTTGAAAATGTAATTCCATCTCAATCTTTGTATTTCATAAAAATAATAGTTTAGTTTCATTAAATTAGAGAACTCTGAAAAAATTTTGCAAGTGGGGAGAAAAGCTTCAAATTTTAAAGAAGTCTTTTTTTAAATTGTATGCCCAACTACGACGAGCACCTAATTTTTTGCTCCAATTTATTGCGAGGAAAAGTTGCGCGTAGTACTCGAGTCAAGACGGTAATATGCGTGAATCCGAGTGTCACCTTTGTTCTTTGTAAGTTGAAAATTCGAAAGATAGATTTCATACTCGTGTGAATGCGACGAATCGGTGGTGAAACTGCGCTGTACTATTATCCACTGGTTGCTGTTATTCATGGTCTCTTTTTTGTGTGATGTGAATTCCAGACTTAACCGTTCCATGAAATCATGCGATTGAGTGGCGCAGTCGTTGCGTTCTCTGCGCGACTCACCAAGTACCCGTTGTGTGAGTCTAGCTGTGCTTTTCTTCTTCCGCGTCAGTCTAGTCTTCGTCAACCGTCTGCGTCCATAACCAGCAAGGCTGTTCGCGGTGAAGTCATCAAGCCTGCGCCGTTTCCGTATCGTAAGAAGAAATTTGGCTCTCTCCAGTCATGGTATGACCGGACTTCGTCCCGCATGGACGAGAACTCCAAGGTAATATCTTCGAAAGATGCTTTAGTGGTGTGGACAAAGTAATGTATTGGGTGACATTGGCGCACAAGACGAAATGGGCTTTTTTTTTCTTTGCCAGTGGCTCGCAGAAGGGTCCATTGAGAAAAGACAATTTTTATAGTTTTAAATATGAACTAGTTTTTGAATATGAAGATGGAGTGGATCGTGTCAAAAACGAGCAATATTTTAAAGGTTTGAATTTTATTCTACAGTATTTGATCAGTAAGTGGAGATGATGTGAAAGTCTCTTATACCTTGGACATTTCCTTGGTTGTAACGTGTTAACTTCCTCATTGATATTTATAAATCGGTGTATAATATTCAAGAGGAGATTTTGAGTTCCTTGCCAGAAAAATCCTGGTGAATCAGACTCCTCTTCAAAGACTATTTGTTGAACTATAATTCCCTCAGCAGTCTAAAAGATTCCAAATTGACATGGAGCAATGAAATAGGTGTATACACCGAGAAATGTCAAAATACAGTATTTCGATTTGTCGATAAGTTTTTGTGCAGCGTCTATGTATCGAGACATTTTCAGGGTTTCGCAGCGTATTTTTTGAGTTTGAAGTGTCCACAAGTCGGATCGTTCTCATGTCGGGGTCCCACCAATGTAAACTCGACCGTTTTCCTCATCCATTCTCCAGGTGATCGTAGTCGATGGACCACCGGCTGCCGGTAAGACCGAGGTAGCTAAAGAAATCGCAGAGCTCCTGGATTTCTTGTATGTCCCCGAGGCACACACGGATCTGGTCTACATCAACTCCTACGGCTACGACATGAAGCAACTGGACCCGCAATTGCCGCCTCGTGCTAGAAGCTTCACGATGGACGACTTCAACAAGAACCCGTTTGACGAGCGTGCTGCGCACCTGCAGCTGTTGATGTACAAAATGCGGTACTTGCAGTACATCGACGTGCTCACCCACGTTCTCAACACTGGACAAGGCGTCGTGTTGGACCGATCGGTGTACAGCGACAGTGTTTTTCTCAATGTTAGTTCTGTTTTCAATCACGAATAAAGTTGAAGAATTCAGTTTGCGCGAAATGGATTTAGGAATCACGAGTGAAATTTTCCGATTCTTCCCGAATTTGTTCACAGTTTTTTAGCTTTTTGGAATTTGCGTTGAATTTTTTACTGATTGTGTCCCTGCGTTCATCAAGTGACTTGAAGAAGTCATCAGTTCAATTTCAGTACCATCGTTCCATTTGAGTCCGCTAGCATGATTTCAGCATTTATTTTTTCCGAACTCAAAGTGCTGGAAATCTGAAAAATGAGCAGAGCACAAGTTTCCTCTACCATTCTGTATTGCATTCTACTTGATTTCTCTGCTTCATCTTCTGATGATGCAGATTTTCGAAAAATGATCCAGTTTCAAAAGCAAGATTTTTCCATTGAATGCTGTTCGTTTTAATTTTTCGTTTTTATTGGCTATATTGCGGAATAGGAAGTATTGGAAGATCAATTTTCGGAAAGAGAAAACAAAAAGCCAATTATCAAAGCAGCTGAATTTTAAAAAACAATTGCGGTACTTACTTCCACTTGCTTAACTTGAAATAGGCTACCGCAACCGCACCTTTTCTGCGTCGCCGTTTTCATCCGTGTTCTTCGGAGACTTTTCACCCTGATAATTACCGTTCTGAGCTTTATCTCCTTTCTTTGTATTCGTAGGCGATGACGAAGAACGGTTACGTGTCCAAGAAATTCAGATGGGCCTACAACGAGCTTCGAAGAACCACTATCCGTGAACTAATGCGGCCTCATCTCGTCGTTTACCTTGACGTTTCCGTGGACGAAGTGCTTAAGCGACTGAAGAAGCGCGGGGAAGAGAACTCCAAAGCATTGACCAAACAATACGTAAGCGACTTGGAGAACTTTTACAAACACGAATACCTCAAGGGTATCGAGGAACATGCGCATTTGTTGGTGTACGACTGGAACGAAGCCCCAGAGGCCGGTGATGTCGAAGGGATGATTGAGGATATAGAGCGATTGGAGTTTGCCAAGCACGAAGAAGATGAGCATGATCCGAAGATGAAGGACTGGTGGTGGCCAGTCGAGGAGGAGTTGGCCGAGAAGCGATACAAGTATTCTTCTAAAAGAGAGGAGCTCATGAGCTATTTCATCATGCCTGGTGCTTTCTACGACTGTCCTGAAGTGTGGCTTTCGTCCGAAGAAACTGAGACCTTTCAGCGCATTTGGGAAAACGTTAGTAAAACAGTATTTCATTCCTTCGATGATTACAAAAACTCCATGGAGTTCTTGAAGCACGACCATTTCTCATGGGGAAAAGAAAACATCGAAAAGTAGTGTTCGGTATTAATTGGGTTCTACAGTGTAGATGACGATTGTTCAAATTTCAAAAGGTTTCCAGCTTCGATTTTTGCTGCAAGATTTTACTCCTCACCGAAAAACTTGATCAAAGATTGGCGAGTCATATGTAAACTACTGTGTACACAGCTAGACCTCTACAAGGAGAATTTGAAGGGACCAACAAAAAGATTCGTCTTGGAGATATTTCGAGTTGGGGAGGCTAGGTCTGGAAATGCTTGCCGTAATTTTTAAAAGAAATGATTGGGGCTGATATTTTGCTGCAACTGTGTTTAAAGGGTTCAAAAGCATTTCCATAATTATTCCCCCTACGTAAAAAGCCGGGACACTGCAGTATTATTGAGTCTAGAGGATGCAGAACCTTAAGTCAGGATTTTGTGGACCAATTAAAGTTGCTCATTTTTCTTTCCAAAAGCTTTACCATTTGAATTTCCTGTCCTTCATTGTATTCAAAATTTTCGAGTTAGGAAGTTTCACAGTTGTAACATTTCGAGTTAGGTTCAGTTTACAACCTTACAAAGGAACTTCGTGACAGGGAGTAGAAAAAAAGAATCGTGTTCGGGAGGTTTACGACTTGAGAAGGTTCGATTTTTTGTACAGTATAATGTGTTTCAGCATTCTTGTCGCGCTGATTATAGGAACAAGGTTACGTGTGTAGGTGCTTCATATTTTTGAAGTTGTTCTCAATATCTTCCTCAAACGTAGGAAATTTAAATCCCGGTCATCGAATATTTAGCGTTTTGTTAAAGCAATGGGTAGGTTTTGATTTGAGTTTCTCCGTTCACGTAGTAGAGTGTCAGCCTTACATTGGCATCTTATTGAGGTTTCAGCAGGAAGAATTCGGATCTACATATTTATTCTTGGGAAAGAATTCGCAAGATTACTCAGTTGCATTCTGACAAAGAAAGGCTGTTTCGACAATGACCTGTTCTGTTCATCATTCGATTAGGCTCCTGGACACAAGTACTTTCCGGGATACAATGCGAGCATGGGTGACACGAATCTGCTCTTCAAGTATAAGTCGGATTATCGATTGCACACGTACCAGCCTGCACGGAGAAGTTGGTGGATCCCGGAGAAGTGAAGCTGTTTGAATTGTACTGTACAGTAACTGCGAGCGAAGTGTAATGTTTCCGGTTTTATTCCTCCTGTATTCGCGAAATCTGGCCACACATCGTGCTAGTGCAATAAGAGTGGTGTTGTTCTAGCTAACGAAAAGTTTGTCCAGTGGACTTGAAATTCATTTTTTCTCTCGCAAAAATTCCTTCGGTTTTGAATAAAGAAACCGAGAGGATGAGGCCCGAGAAAAATTTAGAGAGTCTTGCCAGAAACAGCAAGTCACGTGCCGGATGTCCTTGGAGTAAAGCGAAGGCGTGGAATTTAGTCCATCTCTTCCTTCTATACTTTCTAATTTTCTTGAACTTTTCATACCCTCAAGCTGCAATTGAAGGGAGACATTTTTTGAAAGTCCTAATGGATATTCTACTTGAGTGATGTGAAGCCCACTTGATAGTTTTCCACCTCGGTTTTCAAACCAATGATCAAAATATGTCTAATTGACGAAGCATATACGGTACATGATGCATATGGAACATTATCTAACATTTTTCAATGAGGGCCCGTTCTACTCTTCACAAATTACAAATATTGAATGTACCGAATTTACTTGAGTACCACAAGAAACTTTTTCTAAAATACAGGAAGAAAAAAAAGGGTGCGCGTCATAGGTGGGTATACATTTTTTTGAATTTCAATTGTACATTACAGTATACTTGATTACAATGGGAGATGTTGGACAAAGTTGAGCAGATAAATTTATTTGAATTGGAATAAGCGAAAATTAGTCAAATCCAGTTTCATTTCATGTACAATTTTGAATTTTTGTTTTCCTATCTACGATATAATGCATTTTAGAGTCACTAAAAATGGTGTGAAAGTCTTACCTGCGAACACATGGTACTCGAGTAAATACGGTATTAGAAACTTTTCGAATTGATGTCGTATTTTTGAATAAAGGCTAGATAATCACTGTTCACACTTCCAGAATCAAAAAAATTCATGTGTCTTCAGAGTGGGAGGGCGGATTGAAAAAAGTTTGAGTTGCCCCTGATTAAAGACTGCCTCCAATGATATTCGGGATTGACGACTTGCGAAATCCATGGACATACTCTCACCTTTTATTCAGTGACCAGGGATTGAGTTCTCCTGTTATGAGTTCGCAGAAAATGGCGAAAATGTCGGCCGAGGTTTTGCGAACGATTTGGAAGGAGCTTACGCATGCTTCTCATTTCGATCGCGTGATGAACGGAGTGAAAATCGTTTCGGCGGGAGGCGGTAACGTCGTCGCGGAAATGTCCGTCACAGAGGCCGACACCAATCGTGGCGGCACTTTGCACGGCGGACTCACTTCGACGATCGTTGATTCGGTGTCGACTGTGGGACTCATGACAACGGGTCCGAATTTGCCTGGTGTGTCTGTCGACCTCAGCGTATCGTTTCTGAAGGCTGCCAAAATTGGGGACATCATCAGCATTGAGTCGGAGACTGTGAAAGTTGGCGGGTCTCTCGCCTTCCTCAGGGTCGTGTTGAAGAATAAACAAACCGGTGATGTGATTGCACTCGGCTCGCATACCAAGTTCCTCGTGTCGCCGAAGAACAAATTGTGATCCTTCCTGTCGTGACGCGTTCGTACAGTTGTGTGTAGTCTTGGATGTTCAGATGACCAGGTTCCGTGCAAATTTTTTTTTTGTGTGACGCCCAGTATTTTCCCGGTTGACTCGGATACGATGTTCTGAAGATCAACTCAATTGGAATTATTGAAGACCATCGTCGCCTAATTTCCAATGATTTCCTTCAAGCTGCTGAATTTTTGAAAAATTTAGATGTTTAGTGCTGCTATGCTATTTTAACTACGATATCGGCAGAACTGATCTGCCGCGCCAATTTTTTCTTATTTGCAGCTGTTCGTGATAGATAAAATACCGGAGCTGTGCCCAATTCTATCTGGACTCATGTTGCTGAGTTTTTGACAAGGAAAATCGTAATTCAACTTTCTCGAATTCGTTTTTTCGTTGTTATTTCAACGAATAGCTTCCTTGGTCACGTGGGAAGCGTAATTATGGACTTTTTGGAACTTTCTGGTCGACTTTTGTATTTAATTCATGGTTGTTTTCGTGGAAGTAATATTTCATCTTGACTTTTCTTTCGCTAACCTCGCGAAAGTTTCGTTCGCGGTTTGGTGAAACTCGCACAGATAACTCTTACTCCGGAAATTTTGCATGAGCTATATGAAGTTACCATCATTATTTTGCTTTCTGGTCATCTGAACGTTGTCTTTGGGAGTGTTAGTCGACTTTTTTGGGTTATTGAGGTGCTTCGTTGCTCAGGGAAATACAAGTTTCGTACTATCCCAGTGAACCACGCGTTCGCGTTTAAGTTCGAGAGTGGATTCTTTGTGGTGAAGGTGACATTTAGGAATCAAATTGGTGTTATAAATCCAAGAAGTTCAACGTAATCGGATTTATTATTGTTGACGTAAAATGAACACGTAAACTCGTGAGATCAACGCAAAAATCAGTTTACGATTGGATCTTCGTGTTGATAATTTGAAGGTACTGAATTTTCTTCGAGCCGATTCAATTCAACGAGTTCCGAGTTTAAACCATGAGATCTAATGGCCAGGATGTCATAGAAGTGCCCATGAAATGATTGGGATTGATTATTATTCTCGATTTTGTTTTTGGTTAATGTTGCTTTGTTTCGATTCTTATCCCCTGATTGATGTGGCTTGAATCAGTTAGCCGACTTTGAACATGTTTACCCAATACGTTTTGGATTCATTGTTTTGTGACAGGAACAAATTTAATGGTTTTAATCATTGAGAAGAGAGCAACCACTGCCGAAGTGGTTAATTTGGTCAGTGACGATGAGGATGACGACATCTTGGAGGTTATCCCGATTGTAAGTACTGTGCTGTGTTTTGTCTGAAATTATTCCATTTTTGCTTCATCCGAAAATGTCTTGTCCCTTTTTAAAACGTTTTTCTTTTCATAATTTTTTTCTTTATCCAGAGCACTGAGTTGCCAACTTCTGCCTCTAATAAAGCAACCGTGAAAAACGAGGCCGTCGAAGAACCATTGAATCCGGATCCCGTGGGAACTTTGGATCAATTGGGTTCTGATAACTCGAATAAACTTTCATCTGATTCTCAAAAGACGGTTGAAATAGATTCACCCCTCGTTGCTGAAGAGCATTTACGAGTTCAAACCCCTCCAATGGGTTGCATATCGAAAGAGAAGGTCAGTCCAACTTTTCAGGTTCGATTCAAGTACTGTGAGGGAGTCTCAGTAATTTATTTTTTTTAATGCATTGATTTCAAGGACAGTTGGTTTTAATTATGTTTAGGAGGGATTATTCTTAATCGCGTGATCGATTCTCTTTTTTTTATGATGATGAGACAAATTGTAAATGATCCATGTGAGTGAAATATTCCTGAATTGATAATAATAGGTAATCCTTACAACATTCCTCAAAAATATGTTTTATACCGGAATTGGGAAGCTTGTTGGAACTGGATTGTTTTAGCATGTAATCTATGTCTATGGGTTTTCTGCTGGGCCTTGGTAGAAAGTTTGTCATGCTGAAAAAGTTGTTATGAGGTGTTACCCCCAATATTTTTAAATGTGAGTATTGAAGCGTTATTTCTGAAAGTAAAAGCATCAGCTTGAACACTGAGATTCGAGCCCTGATCATCAACTGGTTTGATTTTTTTCAAAGTTTATTAATTACCTTTTCACGGAAAGGATAATTAATAATGTGGTTTCCATGGGTGGAGTTTTTCAGTTCGACCTGTCTTGTTACACGATATCCATAGCTTCTACGTCTACGCAGTGACTCAATTTTTGTCACTAATTACGACCTTATGAGTGTTTCCTCTTCCTTCCAGGACCGTATCGTGCCTTTTTCTGTCCACGGTCAAGTGAAAAAGGAGGATGCTACAAAGTTAAACCGAGATTTTGTTAGATTTTCGGATCAGCAGACGAAGGGAAAAGCTCTCTTTGATGGCTTCTTACCTGATTCTCAGAAAATTGACATGGTTTTACCACTTGCCGGTGAAGAAGTAATAATTGAGTCCCCTGGAAGTGATTGCGTTGATGAAGAAAAAGTAAGATTTTCTTTTTGAGGTTTTACCCCCAACATTCTTCAATGTGAGTCATGAAATGAAAGGTCGTCTGCAGCATTATCGCTGAAAGAAAAAAGCATAACCTTTAATACTGAGATTCAAGCCTTAATCATCAACTGGTTTGATTTTTTTTTTTTGAAAATGTATCAATTACCTTCTCACGTAAAGGATAATTAATAACGTGGTTTCAATGGATGGGGTGTTTCAGTTCGACCTGTCTTGCTACACGATATTCATAGCTTCTATATCAACGCGTTGACCCAATTTTTGTATTGTACAGTAATTTCAAACTTATGAGTGTTTCCTCTTCCTTCCAGGACCCTATCGTGCCCATTTCTGTCTACGGTCGAGCGAAAACGGAGGCTGTTACAAAGTTAAACCGAGATTTTGTTGGATTTTCGTATCATCAGACGAAGGAACCTCTCTTTGATGGCTTCTTACCTGATTCTCAGAAAATTGATATGGTTTTACCGCTCGCCGGCGAAGAAGTAATAATTGAGTCCCCTGGAAGTGATTGCGTTGATGAAGAAAAAGTAAGACTTTCTTTTTGCGGTTTTACCCCCAATATTTTTCAATGTGAGCCCTGAATTTAAAAGTTGTTTGAAGCATTATCACTGAAAGAAAAAGCATCAGTTTGAATACTGAGATTCGAACCCTGATCATCAACTGGTATGATTTTTTTAAAATTTATTAATTACCTTCTCACGGAAAGGATAATTAATAATGTGGTTTCAATGGGTGGAGTTTTTCAGTTCGACCTATCTTGTTACACGATATCCATAGCTTCTACGTATACGCAGTGACTCAATTTTTGTCATTAATTACGAACTTATGAGTGTTTCCTCTTACTTCCAGGACCCTATTATGCCCATATCTGTCCACGGTCAAGCGAAAAAGGAGGATGCCACAAAGTTAAACCGAGAATTTGTTGGATTTTCGTATCAGCAGACGAAGGAACCTTTCTTTGATGGCTTCTTACCTGATTCTCAGAAAATTGATATGGTTTTACCGCTCGCCGGTGAAGAAGTAATAATTGAGTCCCCTGGAAGTGAAAGCGTTGATGAAGAAAGAGTAAGACTTTCTTTTCGTTTTGATTTCAAAAACAGTATGAGCATAGCTCGCCAAAAAAATGGGTTTCGCCTAGTGAAGATAGGAGCAAATCGTATTTGTTAAGCAAGGCATCTCTGTTTTTTTTTTTCATTATTCATGTCCCTTTTGTGTGATTAACTAAGATTTGTGAAGAAACATATTACGACTACGTTTACGACGAACTAATTTATCCTCCGAGGGTCTTCACGTTGTCCATGTTTTTATGTGGATCTTCTGCTATTTTTGCCTCAACAATTGTCACTTTTATTGAACTCCATCTGGTCTGGGATGACCTTCATGTACCAATTTTATCTGGAAATAGATTACAGAAGAGGAGTGTATACGTACTCGGAAAAAGGAGCAGAGAGTAAATCTTTACAAAAGTGGGTTTTTACAAAAAGCTTGTAGGAGGTTTTTTGTCGGATGAAAAAATGCCCGAGGAAATTTCTCTTTGTGATTTTCAGAAAAAATGAAGGGTAGATGAATTGGCAGGTGCGCAACCTGCTGGGATAAGCATAAACGTGTTTTTTGGTTCCACAAGAAAATATACAGCACTTTTGTACGAATTCTCACAATGCAGAATACAAAGTCTTCTTTGCCTTAAAGAATTTTTAAACTCAAATATGCAATTTAAATTCGCCAAAAATTTCACACACGGAGTGTTGCAGTGATGGAGTTGGATCTGTCTGGTGTTTGCTCCTCTGGTCAGGCGCCTTTTCATGCATTTTTCATCCCTGGTCTGATCCAGGGGTTCATTGTCAGCAATGTCGGAAACTTCTGCCAGATCCTGGTAACTTCGGCCCAACTGTCAAGTGGGCCAATTTATTGGGACATGGCAATCTTTGGAAAAAGATGTTTTCTCCAAACATTCAGATTTTTGGGATGAATCAAGTCAAAAAAACCCGTGAGAAGAGAATCTGTCTCTTTCAGGCAAATTTGATACAGGTTGTTTACATATTTGTTTTTTGGGATGCATGCGCAGCAAGCGTCAAATTCCCCATATTTTGGGGTAATTCAGCCCCTCATAAAACTGAGGGACCCCCATCATCTTTTTTGGGGGGGCTATCTCTCTGGTGGCTTAACTGCCACCAGATGGTTCTGTAGGTGGCTGGAATAACGTCGCCAGGCCCAACCTTTTCAGCCAGGAATAATCTTGTCACAAATTAAACTCGTTGCGGAATATCTTTGTCAGGAATAACCTTGTCTTTATGTTCTACCCAAGATGTTGGGACTTGAGGAATTTTTTGCTGTACGAGGTTGGTCCAGTTGTGAAGTGCGGGAAGATTTTTTTCACAAGTTTGTTCCAGGATAGGCTTGACAACAGTAATCCGGTGTTGGAATTATGACATTATTCCACCATCCCAGTTTTTCCATTTGTCTTTCAGCATGCCAATCCACATCAGCATGCTCCTTTCAGAAACATAATCCCCAAAGTTTGGAACTTTGGGAATGGTCAATAACTTGCTTCAAGAACATGACCCAAGAGCTGACTCAATGATAATTCTTCACACTTCTTACTACTCACCATCAGCAGAAAATTATGTCAAAGTTCTGTATCATCAATATTGATGGCAATGCATTTATGAAACTGATGACTGGACACCAATACGTGAAACTTGAGAATAACATTAAATTCATCCCCAAAATACGATAGAATTCAGGATTTAGAGGTTCTGCTAGATTTTCTTCCCCATCACCTTTGTATCCTGACTCCTGAGGGATCAAGGGAATGCAGGATTTGTCTTTTAAAAAATTTTTAAATCCTGAAGCTTTCAGTTGAGCTTTTGTGTGGATAACTTTCCCATGATCGCGTGAATAATATTAAAAAAAACGGTACAGTATTTGGAAAATGAATTATTTCGTCATGATCCGAGGACCGTTATCGAGAGTCTTTGAGATATTTCAAGCCGCTAACTGGCTTGATTCACATCGAGGAGCTTGATGAACGAGGTACCTGCATTGGAAGTAAACGCGAACTTATGATTGAAACCATTTTTAGGGAATTGAGAAGCCAGAAAACGGCAAGATCCTTCATGCAGTTGGATTTCCGGAGGAACGAAGTCCGAATGAAAAGGCTATTCCGGTTCTTGACTCGGATCACAGAGGTGTGAATTTTAAGTTTTTTCTTCCTCATTTAATTAAAAGAAAAACTAAGCACGTTTTGAGTCATTCTTTTCATTTTTTTTTCAGTCGATTAAGATGGCCGTGAGACGAAAAGCGAGAAAAGTTTGTAAGCAATGATGCATTCCATGAATTTTAGAAGTACAGTACTGTACAAGTATTTCAGTTTAAAAGCATTGTCCCAGGCGGTCCTTCTTTGTTCTAATTGCGAGGGATGATTCATTGATCAGGCTTTTGTATTAACGGAGTTCTGTGAGGCGAGGATGACCCACTTGGTTAGCATTGCCATAATCTTTTTCCAAAAATTCAAAGTTAGTCGTAAAATTCATTCATCTCGATATTTTGGATTCGATTCATAAGAATACACCCTTTTTCTAGATGTGCGACGCGTTTCAAATCGTGCCACATATTACATTCCTGTTTTAAAAATTTTGTGTACGTGACCTGCGCGGTTTTTCGCTGGAAATTGCAGAGTTGGGAAGTGAGGTATGCATTGAACCAGTCCATGCAATTTCCTCGATCAGAATATTGAAGGTGAAGTCTGCCGATGAATCTGAACATGAGCCAGCTCGGAAAAAACTGAAATTAATTTCAGTTGACACCGAAGATCCGTCGCAGAAAGAAAAGCAGGAAAAAAAGGACGTGCTTCTAGGGAAGGTGATTATATTTTGCCATTTATCCTCGATGGAAATTTGGTCTAATTTATTTTTCCATTCTTCTACGTGTAGCTTCGTGCTTGCTTTGAACCTGTTCCAGAAAATATCGATAAGAAAATTTGGAAGAAGGTGCAGAAGAAATGGGCCTCCAGTGCAAAAAATCTGAGTTTGAGTGAACTTCAGTCGATTGTCGAGGATGCCGAAGTCCTCACAAATGTTGAGCAGAAGCCCCCTGATGCAGACGAGTCTTTCTTCTGGAAAGTCGTTTATCATATCCTGTCATCAATGGATGCTGCTCTTTCATCATCAAAATCTGCGTGTCCATCATCATCTGAAAGTGTTCAAAAACCCAAGGATGAGAAAATGCCTCCTTCGAAATGTTCTGATGTTGTTGGTGTGAAAAGTGATAGTGCTGGTGATTCATCACGAGATGTTGGATATGAGCCATCAACCTCGGAGTTACCAGGAAAAGACGCATTCAAGGTGGAAGAAGCATCAACTGTGGATGATGGACCTCACGCACAAAAGATAGTTAAACTGGAACGACACCTAAGGGTAATTTGAATGCATTCGATCCACTTTTTCGTATCTCGGCTGTGTCGGGTAGAGAAAAATCTGTTGGATGAAGTTACAGTCGAACCCTTTCAAGTTGAACTTCAAGTGACTAGCGAAAAAATTCGAGTCAGAGAAGGGAAGAAACGGTTTTGTCGGGGTAACGAAAGAAAAATTACATGGAATTGCGATTAGTGATACTCTGGACCGTACATTGATAAATCTGAAGTTGCTCAAGTGTTGAGTTGACAGTATGCTAAACTTAGAGAAAGGGTTTATTTGCTCAATTAGTCTTTTCAAAACACATCGTTACATTTTTTATTGCTTTTCTCGTTCCAATGTCGAAGAATAATAGGCAAAAAGCCCCCAGAAAGTTCGAGTTTTAGAGGTATGAGGAGAAAGCATTTGAGTTAGGGAGGTCTTTAATGCTCCATTTCCAAGGGAATTGAAAACAATTCGACATAAGGAGATGTTTTCTTTAGAGAGGTTCTAGTTATCAAGGATCTACTGTATTTCATAGCTCATAAGTTCATCATGCCATTTTCGGTTTATATCAGTAAGATCAACATCCGGAGGTGATGAAATCTTTCGAAAAATTAACCATGGTTTTTGAAGTTGTGGACATGATATATTTTATCGTCCACTTCCTTTTGATTTCAGTTCTGAGTATGAGAGAGCCATTCCCTCAACTGGTTCTCTCGCTTTTACATTATTTTCAATTTATTGAATTTGAGTGGATTGAAGAAACATTTTTTGCTTGAAATACGCTTGTTCTTGAGGCTGGAAGGGTTCTACAGCATAAGATGAAAATACAAATTTTAGTTTTCAAATAAATCTAACGAAAAGAATTGAAGCAAATCAATCATCCTTGGAATCCCTTTGGAATTACAGCATGTTGGTACCCTACATAACGCAACAAATCGCAGAATTTATTTCTTGGATCCCCATAATATTGCTTGCTTATTGTGTCATTTGGAATGCGTCAGTGGCCGGCGGACGTGTGTGATTCAACTGTAGTAAAAAAAACTTTTTAATAACAAATTTATCTGGAATTTCGTAGGTCTTGCTTAAGAAATTGCGTGAGCTGGAGCTGCAAGAAGTGAACTTCGATGAAGAAGAGGCTTCTGCGTACTGCCTCCAGGACAGACTTCGAAAGCGAGTGCTGAAAATCGACCGAATGATTTGCAAATTCCGAGGCGAGAGGCACGATCTGGACCGACCATCCAAGAAGAGATTCACTTTTAAAGGTTTGTTTTTGAATTCTGGTTCTTTTAGTTTTTCTTCGGTTCTCTGTAAATAAATTATACTTTACTTTACGACGCAGAGTCGGAGATTCCACAAGTGAACCAGAAAATCATGCAGTTGGTGAACCAAAAGAAGATTTTCCCGGATTTTGTGGATGTGAAACGGATAGTGGAGGAGCATAAACCAGTGATGTGGTCTGATGAAGAAACTGACCTTTACGGTGAGCGAACTTAATCAATGTCAAATGCATGTACAGAATTGTTCACCCTCCAGTGAAAAATATGATTGACAAGAGAGATTTTTCGAAATGGTTGAAAGCGCCTTTCCAGAAGTGATTCTTGATTTTGCTGAGGGAAAAGATACATTTTGTTATGTAAGATGAAAATAAGAATTTCCTTTCCTTCGTAATGACATTTTCGATTAAATAAGAGTAATTTTTTAGGGTTTTCCAGTATTCTGCTTTATTACAACAGCTGAGGAATTTAGATGAAAAGGAGTACAGTACTGTATAATTATTGTGAAAAAAATAGTTTTTTTTCTATCTCTCAAATTATTGTACGTAAAACCCACACGCAAAAACAATGCTATGAATACAATGTCAAGCATGAAGCATCATACAATTATTTTGAATTAAAATTCGTGAACATATTTTTTTGGATAACTCATCACGAAATAGTTTTGGATGAGACAATGTGAAAGTGTTGTACTTGAACATTCATGTAAGCTAGCATTAAACTTCCTTGTCTGAGTCGCTTTCGAAACTTATTAGGAAGCTTCATGAGATAAGCAAACTTTGTCTGCTGGTTAAATCGCTTTTTTTTTAATTTTAACTTTTTGCGAGCGTCATTTATTTATCCTCAGTTGTTCATATGTGAACTGGAAACATATCAACCATGCAATATTTTAGAACGTTCATTTATTCGCTGAATTTGATGACCTCATTCACGAATTCTTTCAAGCCTGATTTCAGCGTAGCTCATTCATCCATTTCGTTGAATAGCGAGGAAGATGTTCAGATTAACTGGACAGAAGCTGAAGAACCGTCGGTTGAAGGAAACTCAGCAAGGTTTAAAGGATACCGAAGAATCCTTCGCGAAAGATTTGGGATTGCCAGTTAAAGTCGATGAAATCGGCGTCCTGAAGGAAGCGTTGGACAAGAACAAGATGGAGGGTGAAAAGCGGATGGAGGAAGTGTGTGACACTTTCGTTCGAAAGCAGGAATTGCTGGGCATGAAGCCAATTGAAGTTCCGGATGAAGATGCGGACTTATCCGAGTCCGATGATCACTCTGACTCTGCAAGCGTTGAAGAAAACGACAAAATTTAATTTTCTGATGCGAAGGATTGATCTCTACTTTTTCTATGCGTTTTTTACTTGTACAAATTATCGAAGGGTCATGATAGTTTTTAAGAATAATTGCTCACGCTGAATCCGTGTAGAGAAATTTCTGGATTTAACGTACGATGGAAGATTCGTTGAATTCTTTTATCTACTTTGATTCTAAATCCATCGTGTCATTTTTTTGTTTTAATCTCTGTGCCAGTATTTATTAGGCTTCATCCTCAGTTTGTGCTCGGTTGAAAATTTGATTCGATTTACAAACGCGCACATTTTGTTTGATAATTTTTCATCGAGCTTGTTCTGCCTTTTTTCGAAATGCGCCGAATAAAAAAAAACAAAAAAGCCAATTTTTGTATTCATTTCTCCGAATGCATTACAGTTTACAGTATTAGTTTTGTTTTTCATTGCTACGTGGTATTTTTAGTGCAATGATGAGTGGGATGAGGGCAAGTATATGAACTGAGAAATGTTCGGTGTTATTTTCAGTTTTTAGTTGTAATTTTTAACTCCAAGTGCAGTAATTTTCCATTTCAAGTTACGAAGCCATTCAATAAAACTTTTTCTCGCAAGATTTTTTTTCACTTGGCGAGTGACTTTGCTTTTATGACTCGCCCCTCTGAGAAAAAAATTGTATCCCTTTAACCCGCACCCGAAAATGAACCAAAAAGACGGATGCCGTGTGTCAGGAAGATGAATCAAATCGAGCTCCTCATCGATTGTAAATGTATTCGTTCAACTTTATTGCATGAGCTGGTGCATCCCTTCTTTTTTCTCGTTCGTGAGGCAATACAATTTTTTTTTATTTAATTCAAACAGTATCGCTTGAATTTCGTTTTTTGAATTTAATTTATAGTACAGTATTGACTTCAGCACATAAAATTTCCGTGATTATTTCTGACATGGAATTATTTCGAGTTAAAATTGATCCCGGTGAAATTTTCGTTCCCAGAAAATGCATGTCTCGCGCGTACTGCTGACGTTTTTCCGGCGCAGGATTTTATTCACAGAGCGGGTATAGGTCATGGAGTACGACCACTCAATTGCGGATGGAGGTCACTGAGTACATGCTAGTTGTAAGAAGGAACTTAGATGTCGCTCTTTGGGAAAGTCACCAACCGTGGTTAGTATTGGAAGCGCGAGTAACAAGTAATGATTTCACAGCAGTACTGCTTGTATTTGTCTGCAGTACCTGGCTTTTTGCAAAACTTCATATTATTTTCTTCTTGTGTGCGCTGATCATCAGAATTATACGTGATCCCTCATCGAACAAATCACGCTCTATTGCTATATTGAAGGCGTAAAAAAATCATGCTGTTTTATTGCGTTGCAGTTCCTGATGATGGATATTGAAACCTTGTTCCGCTGAGCTAATCTGCGCGTCAGTCTCGGAATATCAGTACTAACCTACTGTACTACTGCGTATACGCAGTTGGTTCAATCATGGTACGACCAGCACATGGCAAAATCATCCAACAAAAAAGACGAACATTCAGCAGCTGATCAAATTACACGGTTTTGCTTTTTCTTTGTTGAATGAGTAACTGCTGAAAGAGTATGCAGTATATACGCACGGTACACAGAGAATCGTGCTATATTCGGAAGAAGAACGAAACGATGACTGGTGGTGAAGGCAAATGTTTCTTCGTGCAAATTCGAAATTCAAAAACAAGAAATTATGTTCCTTTTGAGAACGAACCGTAGCATCGGTTAGCAAATGTTTTGCACGGTTTTATGTGCGCGAATGAATTAACACTGCAAATCAGAGGTTTCGAAAGCATGTTAAGCCGTTGGATGAAGTACTGTACTATACGAATGTTGGATAACAGTCAAGTAAAAAATTCTTTATTGGATCTTTAGAATTGCGTTTTTTCAAAACTCGCCTCGTCTATATATAACTTCAAGGGATACTGTATATACAGTATAATGTATTGTAAGTTCAGCATAGGCCACATCATGTTCAATATCGACATCGTGCAGCAATTTGAGTCGGGAACTTTTGTATAGAATACTGTATATACAGTAAAAAATTAAAAAAAAAGAATCTGACTTATGCTGCTGCTGTGCAATACGACTAAGCCTTGCATTTATCCTGAAAGCACATATTGTTTAGAAAAGGGGAGAATAACAAATTTAACGTGAGACAGTATTTTACGGTATGAAATTACATTAAATGTGATCAAAAGACGACCTTTCCGGGATAAATGCAGATGAGTTTTTCAACCTGCCTTGGAAAATCTCAGGATTCCTATAATACCCTCTAAAGGAATGACATGAAATTAACAACAAATAAAGGCTGTCATATTTTGAAAAATGCAGCAACCTTTTTGTGCTTGAAAAGTATCTTAATCATAATACAGTACTAAAGATGCAAATACGAATTTTCGCTAAATTTAATTTTAAAAGGGTTCCCACGTTTTTTGGTCCACGCTGAGACGCCCTTTTGTTCATTGCTTTCAGTCTATTCAGTCACAATTCTCACAGAAAAGTCTGTTTGATTCTATTATGCTTCAATTAACAGCTTGATATCCTCATCAAATTACCAAGTCTATGATAATACCTGAATTGAGCTCTTATTCTGCTTTTAAGCTTAAAAATTATGAACAGAATTTGATCAATTGGAAAAAGATTTTGATTTTCTATTGTCAAGATTGTGCGCTTCAGAGGAAATACTGTACTAAGAATAACTTTATTATACTTGTAAACTTATCTATTTAGGCATCAATAATTAAGCATGATAATTTTGTTTATTTTTGCAAGCAATTTCAGAAAAAATATCATATTCAACTACAGTACAGTAGAATCTTGTTACAACAAACTCCCAGGGATTGGGGAAAATTGTGTTACAATGGAAAATGTGTTATATTGAGATTGATGGATTTATTTACAGAAATGCACTTTATCATCTGTACAGTATATAGAAGCATTTTTTTGTTGTCATCAATTTGTGCTTTTTTTCCTGCTTTGAAGTGATTAAATGTCTTTGAGGGGATTTGGGTTGGGTGGGGAGGGGGTTTGGATGTGGAAATCTTGATTGTACCTTGTGAATGCTGAAAAGCTGCAAATAAAGTGTTCTGTTCATTCATTCATAGAAGCATTATATTGCATCAAGTACTGTAGTCATATGTTTCTCTCTGCAATATATCTAAATATACATGTCTTTTATGAAATGGTTAAATTTGACAAAGAATTTAAAAATAAAAAAACTCGAAACAGAAGAGCATTGGAAAAATGAAAGATTTTCAGATTTTGGTGGCTAGCTTGGCACTGTGCTTCCAGACTCCTGAGACATTAAATATTAGATTAATTGGGATGCATTTATTTTACTGGCTTACCCTGCCAGTCAGCTAATGTAACACATTTTTAGCTTCCTGTATTTTTTAAGTGTGTAATTCCACTGCAGACACATTTCCTGTCCACTATCTAGGGATGATGAGCCTCAGGAAATTCTAGTATGAAAACCAGGGACCAAAATTTTGGAAATTTGGAACACAAATATGAAAATTGAATAAAATATTAGGGAGAGGTTGGAGAAAATGATTTTGTTAAAAAAGGATTAAATTAAACTTTGCCTGAAGGATAACTGCCAGGAGTTGGAAAAAATTCGTTGTAAGCAAAAATTCGTTATAACGAGATCCTACCATAAAAATAGTAATGAGGTATGTTATCATTATCCGAAATTTTGGAAAGACAAATGCAGTTGAAACTATCTGATGAAAATAAAAATTGATGGCTTTTCTCTTAATAACTCTTTAGACATTTTTTTAACGTGCAAAATACTGTATATAATTTCAAATTTTTCAATCCAAGAAGCCCTTCTTGAGCCCAGCTTTCTATTTTTTGTATACGGTACATTCCTTTGTACTGCTGCTTCCTTGGTTCTTGACCTAATTTTTGTAATACTGTACAAGTTTTGTTCTGAGAATTTCATGGCAGATTTTAAAAGAAATTTCTGCTGGTCAACCAAAATTACTGTATATGGAACTTTGCTGCCGCAAACAATTTTATGAAAATTTGCCGGTCTACAAGAAATTGTTATTCAAATTTGCCGGTCTGCGTGCCCAAAAAGGTTGGGGAACACTGTCCATGTTCAGTAAAATGGGTCGAAAATAGTCCTTCAGCATATGAGTTCATACCCATCGTCCCTGTGAAAAATGTCAAGCAAGAATGAAGAACAGGGAAAGGAAAGCCCGACTTCGCTCGTCAGTCGTCACTGCACTCATAAATTATTTTTTCCGTTACGTAACTGATGCGGTTGTTCGCACTTTTCGAAATTCAATTCCAGGGATGAGGGATCCTTTAAAAATCAATTCCGGCCTACGGAAGGGTATATGAAATTACGATGAACAAGGTCGGGAAGGGTGGATCACAGAGACGCGCGCGCACGTGCGAAATAACACGTACAGTACAACATAAAAAAGTACAATATATAATAGAGTACAATATATGATAAAGCTTCAGCTTTTTGGTGGCGCATTTTTGTCAACTACAATAGCTGCTGTATGCGGTGAACTGCTGATGACACGTGATTCCCACGTGTCGAACGCGTGGATATGAATTTGAGGGGGGTGTGTGTGTGTGTGTGTTGATGACATCCCAACCCCGACCGTTTTATTTATTTTTTTCTCTTCTTCTTCTTCTTCTTCTGAAACCGTTGCGCAAAAGCGGGGTTGATGTATAACGAGTTAATAAAAGTCAAGATACCCTTCCGCGTTGAATGCTTTTTTTTTTAATTCAATATTTATTTTGCATGTATATACTGCGCCCATTTCTGCAGCTGTCATCAACAAATCCAAAGTGAAAATTCTGGACAAGTGCGCAGAAATGGTCGTCATACATGATACTGTATATGAATTGAGGGTTGCATTTGACCTCACTTCGCTCGATTCTTTCGTTTATTTTGGGAAACAATATCTGATACAGTATAGGACTATATACACGCGAGGGGTTTCTCAAAAGTATAGGAAGAACCTGCTGCCAGCTTGAAAAAGGCGGGGCTATGCATTTCTATTTTCGACTCCAGGTGGACACTCATCTCTATTTACGACGAAATTCAAGGGACCAGAAAAAAATTCGTTGTAACGAGGATGTCGTTTCAGATAATCCCATAAGATGGGGGAGAGAACCCAATACAGTATAAGGAACTGAAGAAAATTCGTTGTGTACAGGTGAAAATTGTTTAGGCAAGATCATTGTAGAGAGAGTCCACCTGTAATAGAATCCGTTGTAACGGGATTCTATTATATATATATTTGCTTATATATACTATACTGTAAATAAATAGCTTTTTCCATTCTTGTACAAAAGCCATTATGGTGTTCGAATTTCCTTTAGTCACCTAATTTTTTTA